TCGTTGCAAAAGGGCCGATGGATTCAGGCCGTGGGACGAAGGCACCAGCTGAGACGGGTTCAGACGGGCTCGAGGAATTCGAGGACAGGCCGTCGTCGTAGTATACAATCGACCTGTACAATTTGAAACAATCGTTATCAATCGTTTGTGTCGCATCTGCAGTAGATGGCACTGCGATCGACTCTCTTAAGAAAACGCCCATTAACGACTGCCAACCATTGAGATTCTCAGGTGGCCCACCTTCTTTGTCAGTCGGTCTGAGGTAGCTTTGCATAGCTAAAAATAGGTGCCGACAGTTTCAAGCATATGCGTGCATATGTATGCATATGTATAGTAGCTTTATTTGCAGGGCATCAGCCATCCTTTTGAAACAGCTCTTGGAATGCTACAATGGATTTCAACTGAGCCCACCCTGAGATCTCCAATGCTCAAAACAAGCATGCATTGACCCAAAAAAAGGACCGCAATCGAAAGCCATCGATCCATGGCGATTTCGAATTAGACCTTCGCTGCATTTTCTCAGTAGACCTCCACAGAATCAGCCTTAACTTCGAGGCCGCATGTCGAGTCCACATTGTTTCTCAGCCAACCCCATGTACTGCCACTGCCCTCCTGGCCGATGCCTATCCCCGCAGGTCTTGAACCAATCAATTCAAATTAAACGCATCACATCGTGTATTTCATGTGTATTCATCACAGATTTATATGCCTTCAATAAAATGTTTCGACTGAAAAAAACATGAGTGAATTAAACACCATGTACATGTATAAAGATGTGCGTATTAGATTTTAAAAGGAAAATATGGAAAATATAAGTTCACTATGTATATTATATTCATATATGATTATTGTGATATATGATATTAATTGATATTATAATCTATTATATGTACGTGCGTGTGTGCTCGTGTATGTGCAATACAACTTTCACACGACAGATGAGCGCAGCCGATGGGCTCCTCTGGGATGGACGCCAAATGCCTGGCTTCGCTTTCCCACTGCTCCCTCAACAAGCGCACGCAATGGGCGCGGAGACCTGGCTCCGGCAGGTAGCTGCATGAGACCACCTCGGGTGGAAGTAGGAAGCCTCCCAGCCGTGTGGCAAGATATGGCAAGTGAAGGACAACCGCAAGGAACAATTCTGATCCATATTGACATGTGACATATTGATCAATTATGGAAAAGGAAATCCAATTGCGTAGATCAAAGATATTCAAAGATAACATCCGTCAAGACCTGGAGGTCTAAAATGGGTTCTAAGTTTGAACTTCGCTGGATAGAGGTCTTGCATAATGGCCATGCCATGCACATCATGCAGCCTTGCCCCATCCCCACGAGAATGGCCTGCTGAAGCAGCTGCGTGGTAGCACAGCAGGCTCCTACTCTCTCCTCCAACTGCACGTGCAATTGCTTGGCGAGGAGACAACGGCAACACTGAGCGCCAAGCGCAATGGAGCTCTTTATCCACTCGATCAGCTGCCCATTTCACGTAGAGGCGGCGTCTCTGCAAATGCCATCGCGCGCGCTTGGAAATGCCTTCAAGTGTCTCAGCATCTGGAGGCCCCAGATGTCCCAGGTTCTTGATCATTTGACCGCCTTTTTGGAAGCTGTTTCTCCTGGGCAATGCCATGGCCACAAAAATTGTGACCATCATGGCAGGTGAATGTCGAATGGGCCCATAGATGCACATCGCGAAGACAATGGGGAGCAGTGGCCATGTGTTTAGCCAGGCAGGCAGACCCCAGGGTAAATCCCTGTGGTTCAGTAGGGTTTTGGAGTCAACACCTTGCATCCCTTTCCAGGGGCCATCCTGCACCATTCCTCAGGACTACCCCTCCCAAAGCCCTGTCCTTGAGAAGAAAAATGCAGAAATACTATGATGAAAAGCATCATTCAATGCTGGTAGAGTGGCCGAGCTTCCACCCACAAAAATCATTTTAACAAAAATCATTGTTCTCCACCTCTCACCTTTTTTGACATGATGGGTTGCGTAGCTTGCGTCACAGCTTTGCTGTGGACCAGGCCATCTTAAAAGGTACAGAATGCACAACCGTGTACAACATGTCTATATAGTAGTACCCAGCGGCCGCAATATGGCACGTTGATTGCACAGAGACGTGCCGATCTTTCACGCCTATTAGGCCCATCATGGGACCTGGGGTGCTAATTCTGAACTCGATCTACTTCATTTTCTCACTGCGATACACTTTCGAAACACGTGAGAAGTCTCGCTTCATCACAACTTGCCCGGCACTGCCGCTCGACCGTGTCACCGGCGACCTGTAACTCGGAATCTGTTTGAAGTTTCAATAGGGATGGGTCAATTTTGGGGCACCAGCGGACCCATCAAGTTGATCATTTTTTTGCATGAACCCTGCCATGTTGGGGTCGATAATTTTGCATTTGTTTTAGTCTTGGCCCATACAATACCGCACATACCCCAATGGCAAATACAAAAACATACACGAACCTTTCAGCGCAAGTGCGCCTGATTCAGACAAGCTCTTCAGTGATCTTTTGCAGGCACCTTGGTTCCCGGCCAAGCATCACAATCAAACGGCCACTTGAGGCAAGCTCTGAATTGTTTGACAAAAAAAATAATCATCAGAATGATCATCAACGAATGATATTGAATCAACTACCCAGCCATTTTTGCGCAATCGTTCACCACATCAAAGCCCTTCCCCGTACCAAAAACAGGTGTTCCAAAGTTGCAGGTCAAGGGGCCACCATCCGCACCTCCCATGGACAACGGCTGGAACTAAATATCCGCATTCGGCAAAAACAGCTTTTTTGCTGCCGAACTCCCCATTTATCATTGGATGACTGGTGTATCATTAAAATTTATGGTTGGCGATTTATCCCCATTTATCCCCATTTATCCCCATTTATTGTTGGTTACCCTCTGGTAAACTAACATAACATAACTATGGAAAATCACCATTTTTAATGGGTAAATCCACTATAAATGGCCATTTTCAATAGCTATGTTAGTTTACCAGAGGGTAAATATTATTGAAAATCAATCTTTGGGATGGTAAAACCAAAGATTTGGATCACTGAGAGTGACCCCGACCTGCTTGGGGACCTGGGCTCACACTCCGGTCCTTCGGCCCATCCTGAGCAGAATTGCCATATGGATCTGGGTCAAAATATAAATGGATGATTTACCTGGGAGGAGGAGGGGGAAAAAAACATGAAACATATCAAAATCTCAGGTTCGAATTCTAAGTCCTAACCATTTGTACAAGTTTGACCCAACTGCATGCACGAAATGCACAAAGAAACCTGCCCCCATCTGAGGACAGCTCCAGCACTGGACCAGGGCCAACCCGCGGCCCAAAAGTGGTGGAAGCACCAAAGGTGCCCGAAGCTCCCAGAGCAGGGCCTACAGGTTCTCAATGGCAATATGGCATGGCTTTGAAAGCCAGAAGCGGAATCCCAAACATTTTCAAGGCGCGCAAATGATGATCAACTCCATGTAATCCCATCCACCATGGGATACCATGGGATTTGGGGGTGTTTCCAGAGTGTTTCCCTCAAGTTTGAACAAATCAAAATGCCTCCTGGCGCACGGGATCCGAGGGTGTCCTGGCCACAAGGTTGGTGGCTAAGCACATGATGATTGTGTCGCCGAATGGAGATGGGCCCTAAAACATCTGAAAGAAATGCACTTAGCAAATACTCAAAACATGTGGAAATATATGTGCATATATATATAATTATATATAATATGTGTGTGTGTGTGCATCTATAAAGAGTGCGGTATTGCTGGATCCATGACATTTTAACCCGTGGCCAACCAGCTACTTTGATCCAAGACCAGACTTTCTCCTCAGCTGCCAGAGCTGGTGAGCCATGTGCAAAGGATGGCGTGGGCCTAAGTTTTTTTCTCCGACGGCAACCGTGCCCCAAGGCCCCGAGGAGGGTGTGCAATATCCATTGCCTATGAATGTTGAACGATGCTGGCCCTTGCGACGAGACTTCTTGGAACAAGTGAAATTGTAAAACTGTAAATGCTTCAAATTAGACGGATAGGCCTACGGTCTACAGATTCGGATGAAGCGATCATGATGCGGCGCAGACGAATATATATATATAATTTATATAATAGATATATGGATGCATAGATGGAACATACAAAATCATGTAAGTACCCAACTACAACCAGAAAAGGTACACTTACACATTATACCTATAGATGAATAGCATAAATGAATCCCCCATCGAAATTCAGGGGAGACGTTGTGACCCTAACTCTGTAGGTTACAAAAATTATTCACAAGTTTGGGGCTAGAGGTTGCTGAGCTCCATTTTTTCCCAAAATGGCCTCAGCTACAAAATGCCAATTCATTTTCAACAACTTTGAAAAACGGACGAGCTTGAATACTGTCATATTCTGTCCCTACGAAATGCCCGGTTGTTTTTGAAAAACTCTTCGTTGAGGCACACACTTTCCTTACAAAATGCCTCTGTTGTTTTTCAAAGCCAAGGTTTGGACCATGTTCTTTTGCTACAAAATGCCCATTTGATTTTGATAAACCCTTATGAAGTTCATCATGTTTTCTTACAAAATGCCACTGCGATTTTCATTATGGGCTAACTGGGCTAACATGATTAAAATGATTCCGTCATAAATGAGATTCACAAGTTTAAGCTACAAAATCTTGGACCTGGATTTCATGTCACGGTTAGCCTGACCAAAATGGAAGCCTCTGTAAGAGGCACAAGGCCACAAACCTTGTGCTGAATAGTTGCCATGTCACCAAGGTCCTGGCACACCAAAGTTGCCTGTGCCACCACCCAGAGTTAGGCTACCCTCCAAATCTCAGTACGGCAAAGGCATGGACAAAAAGCACTTAGGTCCTCCAAGTCATAACATGTCATAACATCAAACAACATTAAACAACCATCATCGACCAGCATCAGAATCATAATGATCTGCTGTACCAAAATACATCTACTTGTCATGTCAATTTCTGTCACGTCTGCAAGATCTTCAACGAGGAGTCTGGGCCATCAGCTTGGAACTGCACCAACGCGTGAAGGTGGACATGGCCTAGGCATGGAAGAATCAGCTCAACCACAGAGGCTACAACATGCAGTTACAAGGAGCTGGTCGTTGTTTCGAAAGTCTGGCTTGGCTTGTTGGGGACTTCTAGGCCACAGTGGATGTGTATTCACTGCAGGTTTGAATGATCGTCAATTATGAGGTTTCCGCTGTACACATCTCCACTGACAACTACCGAATCAAGTGTGGCTCCAGCGCTGCTGGCGCATCCTTTTGTGTCCATGCTTGGCTCAGGACTTCAACCGAAGCCACCAAGCCAGGGATAACATCCCAACTTCCCACCATCTCTGCCACAGCCATGGCCACCAGAGAGTCATGGAGGTCGTTCTCTGCCAGGTTTAGCACCTTCAACCATCGCCTCTGGGAACTTGGTGGGAACTTGGTGGATCTTGTGATGGGAAATTCTTGGGTCTGGGGATGGTTCAGAGCCAAACTGTTTGGTACATTTTGCTACAATGTAGCTTTCTATAGCTTTCTATAGCTTTCTATAGCTTTCTATAGCTTTCTTGCTCGTTTGAAGTTTGAAGTATTGTGTTTGTGAGAGATGGGCGAGGGTCAATTCTACCAAGAGGGTGGGAGAAGCATGGGGAAACTGAGTTGAGGGAGCCCAAGATGTAAAGGAGAAGAGAATGAATTCAATCGGATGTTAAATTCGCCAAACAAAAACCCAATCATATTCCTTTATGCGTTATGTATCAGTACTTCCCATATCTTCTTGTTCGAAGACATCCTGCCTTGCCCTGGAGCAGGCAGTCATGACAGAACTGCGGCCGATCGCATCCATCTCCACAGTAGAAATGCTGCTCTGATGGAGCAAAGACAGACTCGACGTCCAAGAGTGTCCCCTCTCACATGCAGCGAGCAGAGCGTTCCCAACAATGCCATGATTTACACCTGGATCCTTCCGCTGTGCTGACAGCGCAGCCCTCCACCGACTAAAACGACTCGCGGAAAGTATTTGTACTACCATTGCCGGTGCACCTAACGAAAGTCGTACAGCATACGTATGTCCAATCATGTTGAGCGAAGCTTTCCAAGCACTTCCAAGTTCCAATGCAGACATGCAAGCGTTTATTGTGACAGCATCTGGAAGGACCCTACTTGCCTTCATGTGCCCCAGAAGGTCAGCTGCCAACGCCCATTCTGTTTCCCTCATGGCACCAATGGCTACAGTGTAGCTCCTCGGCGTTGGCTTGTCAAGCCTTCTCAAGATAGTCATGGATAGTTCCCAAGCACTACTCCTTTGGCAATTTCCCAGCAGTGCATTTGCTACAGCCCGGTAGCCACTTGAGAAAGGTCGTATCTTCCCCGCCACTTGCAGAGCTCTTTGCCAAGCACCCTGAAGACATGAATGAACCCCTGCGCTGCGAGCAACATCGTTCAAATGGCTGAATGCTGTGCGCATGAAGGCCAGTATCCCACAAGCTCGTCCCCACAGCATGCTTTGAGCAGAGGAGTCTACTGCAGCACTCCAACTAATCGAATCCGTCTCGATCTTCCTGACTAGGAAGGCTTGAAACAAGGCAGACACTCGACGCCATTCGCCCTGTCCCGAACAGGCACTCACAAGTGTATTGAGGGTACAGCTGTCACTCTGGACTTGATGCATCATCATCCAGTTGGCAAAGGTCAGGGCCAAATGCCACTCATGACTCTTGTCAAACGCGCTGAGCACTGAATTCGAGCAAATCGCATCAATCACAGACCAGGACTGAATGGACTGCACGGCACACATCCACAGGGAACGTCTTGACAGAGCCACCAGTGCTGAACGAACAGTTTGGGCGCCGCCGTGGTCATGGGATGGAAACTGGTCTTGCAGCTGTAAAGCTGAGAACCATCTCATGGGCATAGCGAGGGCTTGAGCCCAAGGCTGGATGGGAAGACTTGGAAGGATCATGAAAGGATCCAGGTAGCTAGGTGATACCGCTCTCTCTGGTCTCTTGATTGTGCCCATGCAAAGCTGATCACTGGGCGGCTTGAAAACTGTAATTAGTGAATTAATGTGAATTATACATGAATACATATTACATACAGTACTACACTGTGATACACATGTCACATACCTGCTACTTTGTGGTCCCAGCTGTGGTCTTGGAACCTGGAACAGGAAACAACTTCTCCATTTACAGTCTTGGAATGAAACTTGACCGCTTGGGATACACTGCTCGGCCTAAAGCCTAGAGGGCCTAGAGTGTGGCTTGAGATGGTTTGAGATGGCTTGAGGCTTTTTTGGGAATCTGAAATCATTAAAGGATATTAAAGGTCTATGATTCTATGATGACAACTGGATTTAACAAAAACTCACAAAGGACATCCCCACCTCCTGACGCGTCGCCAGGGCAATTCTTCTCTGCGAAAAATGTTGAAGGTCTGCTGTGACAGAGTGTTTAACACCCTAAGAAAAGGCAAGTGCTTCCTATCTGCCCAAGCTCTGGCAACCACATTGCTGCTAGCAGCATCCGGCTCCAATCGGAACACAATCATGTGGCGCATCAGGTTCACAGTCACCTCCCAGCTGTGCATGATGCATGTACCCATGGCAGCAGTGTAGCTGACCTGGCTCAGTCTGAGATTCAAGACAGCTGTCTGAAGAAGTAAGGCCAAGGGAAGCCGCCAAGTCGAGCAACTCTCACAGGAAGTGATGGCTGCACTTGTGCTCAAGACATCCAGCCTGATCCTCCGCTCCCTCAGAAGCCTGTAACAAATTTCCAATGCTTCCTTCCACCGCTGGGCTTTTTCGAATGCGCTGATTGCCGCTCCACAACTCACATGGTCAGCTCGTGGCGTGAGATCAAGCAGCCAAGACAGAGCCAGCTGCCATCGACCTCTTGACTGGCAAGAGGATATGAAGGCACCCACTGTTGCAGCATCTCTCTCCACCTTTGCCATTGACATGTGCTTGAGTAACACCTCCGGCAGGGAACCGTCGCTATTTCGGTTCGAGAGGGCAGCAAGATAACTCGCACTATCCGGGCGCACGCGCAGGGTCCACATCTCATCCAGCATTGCCACTAAGCCCTGCCATGGCCCTGGTGAAGCTAACATGGCACTGTTGAAGCTGATGATCTGCGGCTGAAGATTCCACGTCCGTAGGCTGCCAAGCAGCTCCAGCGCTGGTCGCCACGCTCGCTGTTTCTCGCACGCACTGGCTGCAGAATTGAAGCTGATGACGTCTGCTGCGCCAGCTTGGATGGCAGCTATGCCAAGTCGCCATTGGGTTCCTTGGAAGTTGAAGGCATTCCAGGACCTCCGATTGATGTGTACTCTCATAGCTGGCATGTTTTGAAGCACTTCTAAAAACCTGCGCCAACAGCTGCTGTGGCTCAGCCCAATGATTGAGTTGAATCCTGCAGTGTCCATGTGACCATCGTACTGATCAAAAACACAGACACCAGCTCTCCAATTCTCCAAGGGCAGACAGGCACTGATGCTAAAGGCATCCTGCGCCACAGTTGCTTTAGGCATGTCCTCCAAAAGAGCTTGAGCTTTGCGCCAGTGGCCAGCTCGCTTCAAGAGACTCAGGATCGTGTTGTAAGTAATGATGTCTCTGGCGATGCGGATAAATCGCATCTCTTGCAGAATGCCTGCCGTCCTCCAGTGATGAGCAGCTGCCATGACCTTCAGAACTGAGTTGAAGCTGATCAATGTAGGATGCAACGCCTTTGGCTGTAGCGCTGCCAGGAGACCCAAACAACACCTCCAATCCTCACCTCCACCAGCAGAAATCACCGTGTTCACATGAATCACATTTGGTACGCCTTCTTTTTGCAGCACTGCCAAAATCTCCAAGGCTTTTTGAAATTCACCCTTCCCCGCCAAGTTCTTCAATAGCACCGTGGCCAGTTTGGGCTCAGCCCAGTGCAGCGGGCTGCCTGCTTCTGCCAAATCAACTCCTGTGCAACACATTGCTGGCTTTCGGCATACACATTGCCGCACCGGGCGAAGAACATCCATTTTACAGACACCACCTCACACAGCTGAAATCCATTGAAATCCCAGTTCAACTTGTCGAAGTGGAGCCTGTCACCTTTGAAATCACCAAGCCAGGTCTCTGTTGGTCCCTCATACCAACATCTTCAATAGAAATGGCCACATGATGCAACATGGATTGCCGGATATTGCGCAAGATCGCCGATCTCTGGCTTCGTGATCGACTTGGGCAGCTGATGCCGCGAAGAGATCACAATTGCCATCGCAGGATCCTACATTTCTGTGGGAACATCCCTCTAGAGCCTCCCTTGCTTGGGCCAACAGCATCAAGCCATCATTGAGCCATCATTGAGCCAATGCAATCAATGCAAATATGCCTGCTTTACGCTTGTTGCAGGTAAGGAAGTTACACAAGAATGCGCCCGTTTGCACACTGAGCCAGTGACAACCTCCCACCGGGTCCAGGGGATCTGGAGGATGTTCGAGAGTTCCTAAGAGCTGCCAAGGATCCCACCAACATCCACCAAAAGCTCTGCCGAGAAACCCAGGGGATCTCCCAGAGCTATCGATAGCTGGCAGCGTTGCCTGCCATCAGCAACTGGGATGGTCAAGCTGTGTCCAAAGCATCGCCCTGCAACCGAACATCTTTTTATTGAATGAGATGACTGTAAAGACCACAAGGTGTATCAAATAAAGCCACAAATCACGACCAAGATGTCTTTCCGGCAAATTGGTGGCTTGTCTGAAAATAACAGGGTACCTGGAAACCGAATTGTTTATCATCATTTCACTAAATGGCAATGTTAGGGGTATACGGTATACTGCATATAAATGCAGTTAATTAATGTCATATATCCCATTCCAGACAGCCTCAAACATATCCAAAGATCATATATGTATATATTATAATTATTATACACATATTAAATTATATTAATATGCCAGTGCGTTGATGTGATTTGATATGAATGTCCCATTTTTGGTACGAGTATCCCGTTAATCATCCCATTGAATCCCCCGTTCTGGGAATCTCCTGACAAACATGGCAGCCCCGCAGCATGTCCCACGGCATGGCCGCCAGGTGGCCTCAGGTGTTTTTAGCCTCGCCAACCCAGTGGTGCCCGGAGGCGCCCAGGCATCCGCACGGTGGTGGCGGCGGCGTCCCGTGTCGCGGTGGAGTGTTGGAGCGCGAAACACTAGGCCTGCGCCACCAGTGCCATGAAATGCCATGAACATACCTGAAAATGAAGGAAAATGAGACTTCAAATAAGACGTATAGTAAGACAATCAATTGGGCATGGAGTCAATGGATGTATCTAAATTTCAAAACCAGTCATTTTGGTCCGGCATCTTTGACCCTTAAATCATCCCGCATCCAAGTCACTACACTTTGAATAGTTTGATTTGGTTGACCAAATATCTGAGATTCCAGACGTGTTTCCGGGAGTGCATGCAGGTGACCTTTGCTGCTGGCAGGTCGTTCGCAATAGCGGCGCGCGGAGCTCCGCGCTGAGTCACCCACACACTCCGCCCAGCTGACCTTGCTTGGCAGCCTAGGCATGGGCAAAGATGTTGAACTTCGCACGGCTACATACTACATACTACATACCGTTGCATACCGTTGCATACCGTTGCATACCGTTACATGCCCTTAACCAGTACCCAATCAATCTGGCTAATTATTCTTGAAGTCAGCAACCATGAAAGTGGTGTGCGCCGTCACTCAAACATCTTCAAAGTGGGAAAGCTTTCCAGATCACGATTGCATATTAACATCATATTAACATATATTAACATCATATTAACATATATTAACATATAGTAACATATATTAACTCATATTAACATATATTAACATATATTAACATACACATATTAATATATATATATATATATTAGTTAACATATTAATTAACATCTATTGACCTTGGTGGTTTCTAATGGCGCCACAGAAAAACCACCGAAAACCTGGGCCCGCACCCGATGTCAACGCCGCCTGCAGATCCAGCAGATCCCGGGAGCCAGGGATGGCCTTCAGACCTTGGAGCATCGTGGAGCGGCTGAGGGATGACATGTTTGGGAAGGGATCCATGGCCAAACATCATCAAAAACCATCAAAAACCATTGAAAACCATTGAAAAAACACAAAAAACCATGGAAAAACACATGAAAAACACATTGAAAAACCATTGATTCATCATCAAAAACCATTGGAAAACCACAAAAAAAATATGAAAAAACACATGAAAAACAAAACTAAGGCTGGCCCTGATGTTTGATGATTTGAAGAGGAATGCCCAGAAAATATGTATCTGTTTGGGGCTCGCTGCCATTCTGCGACTCCTGCAGCGCATCAGCATGTTTGCCAAGCCTTAGTTGGCAAAGGCTAGGAGCGGATCAAATGGGTGGCTTTGGATATCTCAAGCTCCCAGCTCCCAAATAGATTTGACCTGGGATGAAATCAGAATCAAAGGTTGGAATCTGCTGGACCAAAGAAAGACAGATCGGAAATCGGAAAGGTCCTGAGGTTCCAACCAGCAGCAACCAGCCCTTCACGTAGTTTTTCTGCAGCTTGATGCATTGCTGGGCGTCCTTTCAAGATCTTTCAAGGCTCTCCAGGACTGCATCCCATTGCCCTACCCTGCAGCTGTGGATCACGATGTCACGTGCCTCCTTGCACTTCAACCAATCCTCCACAGCCTTCCAGATCGAATCACATGTGACTTGTGGATCTTCCTGACTGCTTTGGAGACACCACACCACAATCATCCACAATCACCATATATTTCTGGCAAGTGCCTTGTAGCAAAGCCCTCGGTTGGCATACCTGGCTGGGCTTTAAGAAAATGATGCAAATGGCATCAAGGCAACACGTCCATGGCAGCTATGATGGTTGAGCTCGAGGCAGCCGGTGGTCATTGGGCAAGAAATGCAAGGCCTGCCACGAAGCTGCTTGTTCTTTCTCAATGAAAGATCAACAGCGATTCACAAGGAGCCTTCCCATACTCCACCATGGCCGCTTGGTAGAGCTTCATCGACTCTTGCCTTAACACTGGCGTTCCCTTCACAATTGGCCACAATATCGCGACCAAACACTGAGAAAACGACACTCCTTTCAAATCCTTGTACGGGTCTACATCCTTTGCGAGGTCGCGGGCCTTTGACAGGTCCCATGGGCTACACATGTGATTCAACAGTTGTCACAATGCGATGCATGAAGTTCATGAAGCATGCCTCCCATTGGCACTTTGAAGTGCAAGTTAGCTGGAGCTAGTTCCACCAGTGCCCACCTTGCTGTACAACTCATTCCCTCGACGTCGAAAAATATTGGACCTGGCGTCATCACATCCAAGGCCGAGCTTTCAAGAAAGGGACAGTGGCCACGTTGGCTACGACGGCTACGACAGAGCTAGGGATTTGATGCCGCTGCGCCTTTCCAGCGCGGAGGTTGCTGCCTGCCACAGCTCTGGAGCGCTACACTTGCTGTAAAGCATCACAAGGATTCGAAGCCCTTGTCATTTTGGATCATCCAATGGTGGAATAGGGTGGAGATAAAAAAATAGTTGAGATCACAAACCATTAATTTTATCATTTTTTTTGCAGGTGTTTGCTCTTCGTACCTCGAAACCTTCCGGCAAATAGCTTGTAGTGCTTGCAGACATCGATGGGCTCACACTACCTGAGCCACCAAATGCTACAGGCACCTCAAGGACATCATCGGCTAGGGGCAAAGAAACACAGCTGGCACTGGCTGGCACAGGGATTTTGCCACCAGGCCTGGGCAAAGCTATTTGCCACAAGAATGGGGCCCCATCATGCCGTTCTTTGTCTGGTGCTGAGTAGTTGGTACTGTCCACATGATGCTTGGCAGACGTGCACCTGTGAGTTGTGACCATGTCTGGCTGCTAGCTTCTAGGGGTGTGGAAACCATGGTGTTGAGAAGGCATTTCAAACTTCAAACCATGCTAAGCCACTATACGCATTGCTTTCTTCAGCTGCTGTACGTGATCATCTTCCATATCCCGCGGATATGTCTGGAGCCAGGACCGCCAAGCATCATGACAACGTTCTTTGCTACAGTGGATTCTTCGTAGCTCAGTGTAGTTTTACGTCTATAGCACCACGCCCACCTTGCAGCTGCTTCAGTTTCGGTCGCGGGAAATCGATTCGTCAAGTTGGCTTCCAAGTGAAGCAGCCAAGTACGGCGCTGATCCAACAGATCAAGCGACATCAAGCGACATCAAGCGACGTCAAGCGACGTCAAGCGACGTCAAGCAACGTCAAGCGACGTCAAGCGACGTCAAGCGACGTCAAGCGACGTCAAGCGACGCAGGGCAGATCCGACAGATCCGACAGATCCGACAGGAGGTCTTTTTGTGGTTCGCCTTTGGACTCGTCGCCTGCAGCGATGTGTTGAAGTGCTGGATGCAATGCAGGTGCCGGCATGGCTGCGAAATCCTTTTTGTGCTGCAGTTTGTCTCTGCCCTTTTCTACTTCTTACATGAGTCCCAAAAAAAGTATGACTGCACATTTATCATATTTTATTATTATGTATAGCTTGCATGGAGTGAGTTATACAGATTTATCCAGTCCATATCCTTTTGAGGCTGCCAGGATTTTTCAGGATGCAGTAGGGTGCGACCGAGCCTTCTTCTTTGCATCTGCCGCACTTACCAAGGACAGGATCTCATCATCTGCAAGCCAAATCGAGCCTGCAACGATTTTGGGGCTGATGCGGAGGTTGCCTTAGATGGTGGTACCCCAAAATGGATGGCTTACAAGTTTACAAAGGTTATAATGGAAAATCCTATTGAAATGGATGATCTGGTGGCACCCCCATTTATGGAAACCCCCAAACCTCAGACGTGGATCATTCCATGGATCATTGGAATCACTGACTGGTGCATGACCCTCAAATACTGTTTGCTGCTTTGGGCCTCGTATCGGCTGAAAATGTCTTTGACTGATTCAGCCACTTTTGGGTGAACCTGGGCCAACGGCAGGGAGTCTGATAGAATAATGAAAAGAAATGACTAACACTTGCACATGCACTACGGAAATGATGCGGTAGTGCTGACTAAGACATGGCCAGACCATGTCTAGAAGCCTGAGTTGTGTTCCCAACTATTCCCAACTTTTAGTTTGGGATGTTTCAAGTAGGTGGAACAAGAAGACACTTGCGCTCGGGGATCAAAATGATCAAATAGGAAAAGTTCACAGGCTCACCTGCATTCCAATTAATTGCAATGGTCCGGGTCCAGCCTCGTCCAGGTACTTTTCATCCACCGGTTTCTGTTGTCTCACCTTGATGGGCTCGCCCCAAACAAAGCCCAGACTAGGCTCCAGGAAACCCATCAAGGTCAGGCCACGGCCACGCAACCTGAGCTGCCCGCTATCAATCCCAAAATGTCTGGATTCACTCCGCAGATATGTTGGCCAAGTCGGATTAATACAACGATGAATGTGAACCCCGCTGTTGATCATTGGAGTACCGTTCTGCAGAGGAACTCACTTTTGGTCTATTGCAGTCCTTGACGGATGGCCCGGATGGCCCGGATGGCCCGTATGGCTGGCGCCGATGATTCATCGGCTGAGTTTACATCTGCAAGGTCTCAGGCACGACGGATGTCTTCATGATGGTCTTTTGACGTGCATCGTAATGTTGTATTATGCTGATTATGCTGTATTGAACTTCAACCTGTTCAATATGGTATGGTTGGTATGGTCATGGTTCATTGCTTTCCCCGTTCAGTGCCCGAGACGAAGACGCTTAATTAGAGATTTGGCGTGTGGAAAACATGGCGGAGAAAGCCAAAGCACGGATATGCACGATCGTGTTGCTCACGCAGCGCGTGCTTCCGTAAAATTTTGAATGGAAGAATACGGAAGAATTAAATCCTCATCCACGGGTTTTTTTTACAGTGGCCATCAAAAGCCGCCCTCTGGTCCCTGTCCAGCAAGCTCCTGGATGTAAGTGATGTCGTCCCAAGGATGGCGATACAGCGGCTGCTTCAGCCTCAGCTGGTCAAGGTAGTGCCCGATGAAGCCAATAGATCGACCTAGAACGAAGAGACCGTTGAGAGTGCCGAAAGCCATCAAATCCTCACACTCTTCCTTGGAGAATGCACCACAGGAGCGAATCATGTCCACGAAAGACACAGCAATGCAGCCATCCACGTTCAGAATCAGGTTTGCTCTCTTGCGAGTGGTAATCTGTTCCACTTCCAGGGCATAGTCCAGCACTGGTGTGGTTTTAAAGTTCTTCTTCGCAAATCCCTTGATGATTTCCACTCGCTGGTCAGGGTTTGCCAAGGACTTGATCCTGTGTCCGATGCCCATGATCAGTTGGTTGCTCTTCTTCATCTTCTCAATCCAGTCCTTGGGTGCAACACCGCTGCTCTGTGCATCAGCAAACATTTTGGCAGCATCATCCAATGCGCCACCAAAGCGAGGACCAATGGTCAGCAGGCCACTGCACAAAGAAGAGACGAGATCCTTGCCTGCGCGGGCTGTGACAATGGTGTTGTGTGCACCGCTCACTGCAGGGCCATGGTCTGCGGTGACCATCAAAATCATCTCAATGAACTTGGTGCAGTAGTCCGGGAGCTGTCGGCGGAACCACAGCAGAGAGAGCGCGCCTCCGATGCCAATGTCCTTCTGGAAGACGTCGGAGATAGGCATTCCACAGTAGGTGAGCTCCTCTCCACGATCATCAGAGATAGACGAGATGAAGTTGGCAGGCTTCCTGATCATGCCCAGCTTCTTGGCCCAGGTGTAGTCCATTGGCACCTGAGGGGTCTCTCCTTCTGGCGTCTCGACAATTTCACCCTCCATGACGAGCTGTGTGTAAACCTGGTTGATCATGTCCGGCAATTTGTCGAAGGAGTCTGGAACGAAAAATCCTGCTTCCTTCATGGCCTTGTTCTTGGCAGCTGCAGTCTCCATGTCACCTCGAGCCTGAGCACCGGCGTGTCCGAACTGCACCTCTGTGGTGAAGCAGGATGCGCAAGTACCGACGCACCAAGCAATGACTGGCTTTGTGATGCGGCCCTTCTTCTTGGCATCAATGAGGTCGTACTCGTCCAGGCCACCAACTTCACCCAGCAAGAGCAGCATCTTTGCCTTGGGGTCGTCCTGGTATCGCAGGAAGTGGTCCAAGAAGCGGCTGCCAGGGTAGCGGTCACCACCAATTGCCACACCTTCATAAACACCATCGGAGTTGCGGGCAACAATGTTGTTCAGCTCGTTGGACATTCCTCCGGACTTGGAGACGTAGGCGACAGATCCAGGGCGGTAGAGGCGAGACATCACAATGTTGTCCAACATGCCGCCAGTGTTGCCAATGCGCAGGCAGCCAGGCTTGATGCCACCCACAGTGGCTGGGCCAATGATGCCTACGCCCTTCTTCTCTGCGACTTTGATGATGTCCCGGGTCTGTTGCTCTGGCACGCCCTCTGCAATGATGGCGATGGTCTTGAGGTTGGTGTGGTTCATTGCCTCCATGGTTGTCTCGTGCACTGATCGGAATGAGGCGAAGTTCACAAAAACGGAAGTGTTGGGGTGCTTCTGCACTGCCTCCTTTGTGGTGGTGTAGACAGGCATCAAGATCTCTTCAGTGCCCCAGTAGAACTTCACGTAGTGGTTTCCGGAGAAAGGGAAGATCATAGCCTCGACGGAAGGCTTCTTGCGTTTGCACATGTAGTCGAAATCCAACATTCCTTGAACAGCGCGGTTCTGCATACCATAGACAATCGATGTGGTGTCCGGCGTGGCAGTGACCAAGGTGTGTTTGGTTCCTGCGGGTGCGGGTGGGTGGCCCTTGCCGACTGGCTTGGCTCCCTTGAGGTCAATCATTTTGCGGACAGGTGGTCCAGCTGGAGCGGAAAGGTCTGGCTCTGGAAGAGGGTCCACCAGGCCCAAGGCCATGGGGATGATTGCGGTGATGTGGGTCTCAGGACCGTAAACCTTGATGCCAAGGCCCAACTTGTCACTGGCAGCCTTGACTTTGCGCAAACCTTCCAAGTAGTTTGGCCCTGCACGACGGATCAAGATTTTGATCTTGTTCTCCTTGATCTCATCGGCATACTCCTGGAGAGCCTTGATGAGGCCTGTGAAGGTTGCTGCAACGTCGGTGAAGTTGGCAATGCCACCACCGATGATCAGGAACTTTCCTTCTGGGTGTTTGTACTTCATCATCAAAGAAAGCAGAGTCTTGGCATAGACAAAGGTCTCTTCAGTGGAAGGGGCTCCAGAATACTCACCGTAGTTGGCAAGTTCATGGCCCATGCCGTAATCTGCAACCGTGTCTGCGTACACCACAGAAGCACCTCCTCCTGCAACCATGGTCCAAACACGGCCCTTCTCATTGAGGATCGTCAATTTCAGGGATGCACCCGTTCGGCCATCCATGTCTCGGATCAGTGCTTCCTCAGGATAGGCTGCGCGGCCAAAGGGAGGTGGCCAATCAAGCTCTCCCCATTTCTGCGCAGTGAGGAAGTTGGCAGTCTCATCAAGTTTGGCAGCCATGTCCAGGGGCACCACGGTGTTGTCATCCAACATAACCAAAGGGTTGATCTCCAAGTATGCAAAGTGCAAGTCTGTGTAGAACTTGTACAAACTGCAAATGAACGAGGCCATGCTTCCCTGCTTTGCAGCTGTCAGCTTGGTGAGCAGCTTCTGGGTCACCATAGCTTCCGTCAAAGCCTCACCTGTGGGAATTTCCAACCGCTCAGCCTTTGCATCCACATCACCGACATCCACCCCACCTTCATGGTAAAAGAGAATTTCGTCATGGTAGCGATGGGAAAGCATGCAGATGTAGTGTTCCTGTTCTTGCTTGTGAGGCACAAAAGGTTCGACAAGGAAGTGCGTCAGCTGCCCAGTCACATGCTCGACTTTCTGCTCTTTGCACATTCGGTCCATCACCCACTGCTTTGCCTCGTCAAAAGTCTTGTTCACCGCAATCAGGCCAGCCTTGCCACGGCGCTTGATCAGCTGATCTGGCTTGGCCACCAAATTGGTGGTCTTCAACCAGGGGTTCTGCTCCAAGATCTTGTCCCAACTGCCATTGCTGGTGGAATCCAACACGGAGGGGGTCACGAGAACTCCAGCATGGCCCATTTTGTGCTTGCCACCAGAAATTTCCGGCAGCAGCTTCTCCAACAAAGCCTTGCCGGCATGCTCCCGAATCGGCTTCACGGACATGGCTCACTGACTACTTCAAACAGGTGCTGTACTAGTCTGGACTCTCAAAATGGCTCGGCTTGACATTCTTGATATTTCTTGATGATGCCACCCAACTGATGGACACTCATTGATCTGTTGAATTATCATATTTCACTAACCTGAAATGACTTGAAATAATGCCATTTGGGGATTCCCCTAACCATGATTCCAGTGAGGTCACAGTGATGTGACTATAGTTGGCCCAGATTGATGGATGATCTTGACAGAAGAAATCTAGGCTGCCGACAAAGTGCCGCTGAGCCTGGAAACATGGTGGCAATGCCAACTTTGGGGAAACATGGTGGATGGTGAAAACCCTTAAGGTGCAACCCATTGGATCCGCTAACCCCTTCCCCCCTGATATTGAACAAACTTAAACAATATGAAATACTATGAATCAACGTTGAAATACCATGAACTACCCATGAGCACAGCATATGGGCCCCAAAAATGGATAGATCCTCATGGACCCAGTACTAAACCATGGTTTCTTGGGGGATATCCAAGATAGATATAGCCTATATAGCAATATCCAGGCGGTGGTCATTGGGCAAGAAATGCAAGGCCTGTTCTTTCTTAATGAAAGATCAACAGCAATTCACAAGGAGCCTTCCCATACTCCACCATGGCCGCTTGGTAGAGCTTCATCGACTCTTGCCTTAACACTGGCGTTCCCTTCACAATTGGCCACAATATCACGACCAAACACTGAGAAGGCGACACTCCTTTCATCCTTGTGCGAGTCTACATCCTTTGCGAGGTCGCGGGCCTTTGACAGGTCCCATGGGCTATACATGTGATTCTGCACAATAGTTACAGTATCACAAAGCGATGCATGAAGTTCATGAAGCATGCCTCCCATTGGCACTTTGCAGTGCAAGTTAGCTGGAGCTAGTTCCACCAGTGCCCACCTTGCTGTACAACTCATTCCCTCGACGTCGAAAAATGTTGGACCTGGTGTCATCACATCCAAGGCCGAGCTTTCAAGAAAGGGACAGTGGCCACGTTGGCTACGACGGCTACGACAGAGCTAGGGATTTGATGCCGCTGCGCCTTTCCAGCGCGGAGGTTGCTGCCCTGCAAAGCATCACAAGGATTCAAAGCCCTTGTCATTTTGGATCATCCATGGGTGGACATAAAAAATAGTCGAGATCACCAACCATTAATTTTATCATTTTTTCTGCAGGTGTTTGCTCTTCGTACCTCGAAACCTTCCGGCAAATAGCTTGTAGTGCTTGCAGACATCGATGGGCTCACACTACCTGAGCCACCAAATGCTACAGGCACCTCAAGGACATCATCGGCTAGGGGCAAAGAAACACAGCTGGCACTGGCTGGCACAGGGATTTTGCCACCAGGCCTGGGCAAAGCTATTTGCCACAAGAATGGGGCCCCATCATGCCGTTCTTTGTCTGGTGCTGAGTAGTTAGTACTGTCCACATGCTGCTTGGCAGACATGCACCTGCGAGTTGTGACCATGTGTGGCTGCTAGCTTCTAGGGGTGTGGAAACCATGGTGTTGAGAAGGCATTTCAAACTTCAAACCATGCTAAGCCATTATACGCATTGCTTTCTTCAGCTGCTGTACGTGATCCTCTTCCATATCCCGCGAATATGTCTGGAGCCAGGACCGCCAAGCATCATGACAACGTTCTTTGCTACAGTGGATTCTTCGTAGCTCAGTGTAGTTTTACGTCTATAGCACCACGCCCACCTTGCAGCTGCTTCAGTTTCGGTCGCGGGAAATCGATTCGTCAAGTTGGCTTCCAAGTGAAGCAGCCAAGTACGGCGCTGATCCAACAGATCAAGCGACATCAAGCGACATCAAGCGACGTCAAGCGACGTCAAGCGACGTCAAGCAACGTCAAGCGACGTCAAGCGACGTCAAGCGACGTCAAGCGACGCAACCGGGCAGATCCGACAGATCCGACAGATCCGACAGGTCCGACAGGTCCGACATCACTCAGGAGGTCTTTTTGTGGTTCGCCTTTGGACTCGTCGCCTGCAGCGATGTGTTGAAGTGCTGGATGCAATGCAGGTGCCGGCATGGCTGCGAAATCCTTTTTGTGCTGCAGTTTGTCTCTGCCCTTTTCTACTTCTTACATGAGTCCCAAAAAAAGTATTACTGCACATTTATCATATTTTATTATCATGTATAGCTTGCATGAAGTGAGTTATACAGATTTATCCTGTCCATATCCTTTTGAGGCTGCCAGGATTTTTCAGGATGCAGTGGGGTGCGACCGAGCCTTCTTCTTTGCATCTGCCGCACTTACCAAGGACAGGATCTCATCATCTGCATAGCCAAATCGAGCCTGCAACGATTTTGGGGCTGATGCGGAGGTTGCCTTAGATGGGTGGTACCCCAAAATGGATGGTTTACAAGTTTACAAAGTTAATGGAAAATCCTATTGAAATGGATGATTTGGTGGCACCCCCATTTATGGAAACCCCCAAACTTCAGACATGGATCATTCCATGGATCATTGGAATCACTGGCGCATCACCGGTGCATCACCCTCAAATAGCATTTGCTGCTTTGGGCCTTGTATCGGCTGAAGATGTCTTTGACTGATTCAGCCACTTTTGCGTGAACCTGGGCCAATGGCAAGGAGTCTGAAAGAATAAGGAAAATAAATGAAAATAATGATAGCTAACACTTGCTCATGCGCTACGGAAATGATGCGGTAGTGCTGACTAAGACATGGCCACACCATCTCTAGAAGCCTGAGTTCTGGTGTCCCATGTTTTCCCAAACTGCTTACTGTGGAACAACTTGCAACTCTTGCGGATGAAAATGATCATTGCAATGGTCCGGGTCCAGCCTCGTCCAGGTACTTTTCATCCACCAGTTTCTGTTGTCTCACCTTGATGGGCTCGCCCCAAACAAAGCCCAGACTAGGCTCCAGGAAACCCATCAGGGTCAGGCCACGGCCACGCAACCTGAGCTGCCCGCTATCAATCTCAAAATTTCTGGATTCACTCCGCAGATATGTTGGCCAAGTCGGATTAATACAACGATGAATGTGAACCCCGCTGTTGATCATTGGAGTACCGTTCTGCAGATGAACTCACTTTTGGTCTATTGCAGTCCTTGACGGATGGCCCGAATGGCCCGGATGGCCCAGATGGCTGGCGCCGATGATTCATCGGCTGAGTTTACATCTGCAAGGTCTCAGGCACGACGGATGTCTTCATGATGGTCTTTTGACGTGTATCGTTGTATTATGCTGATTATGCTGTATTGAACTTCAACCTGTTCAACATGGTATGGTTGGTATGGTCAGTGCCCAAGACGAAGACGCTTAATTAGAGATTTGGCGTGTGGAAAACATGGCGGAGAAAGCCAAAGCATGGATATGCACGATCATGTTGCTCACGCAGCGCGTGCTTCCGCAAAATTTCTAATGATTCTAATGGAAGAATATGGATGAATATTGAAGAATTAAATCCTTGACATCCACGTTTTTTAACAGTGGCTATCAAAAGCCGCCCTCTGGTCCCTGTCCAGCAAGCTCCTGGATGTAAGTGATGTCGTCCCAAGGATGGCGATACAGCGGCTGCTTCAGCCTCAGCTGGTCAAGGTAGTGCCCGATGAAGCCAATAGATCGACCTAAAACGAAGAGACCGTTGAGAGTGCCGAAAGCCATCAAATCCTCACACTCTTCCTTGGAGAACGCGCCACAGGAGCGAATCATGTCCACGAAAGACACAGCAATGCAGCCATCCACGTTCAGAATCAGGTTTGCTCTCTTGCGAGTGGTAATCTGTTCCACTTCCAGGGCATAGTCCAGCACTGGTGTGGTTTTAAAGTTCTTCTTCGCAAATCCCTTGATGATTTCCACTCGCTGGTCAGGGTTTGCCAAGGACTTGATCCTGTGTCCGATGCCCATGATCAGTTGGTTGCTCTTCTTCATCTTCTCAATCCAGTCCTTGGGTGCAACACCGCTGCTCTGTGCATCAGCAAACATTTTGGCAGCATCATCCAATGCGCCACCAAAGCGAGGACCAATGGTCAGCAGGCCACTGCACAAAGAAGAGACGAGATCCTTGCCTGCGCGGGCTGTGACAATGGTGTTGTGTGCACCGCTCACTGCAGGGCCATGGTCTGCGGTGACCATCAAAATCATCTCAATGAACTTGGTGCAGTAGTCCGGGAGCTGTCGGCGGAACCACAGCAGAGAGAGCGCGCCTCCGATGCCAATGTCCTTCTGGAAGACGTCGGAGATAGGCATTCCACAGTAGGTGAGCTCCTCTCCACGATCATCAGAGATAGACGAGATGAAGTTGGCAGGCTTCCTGATCATGCCCAGCTTCTTGGCCCAGGTGTAGTCCATTGGCACCTGAGGGGTCTCGCCTTCTGGCGTCTCGACAATTTCGCCCTCCATGACGAGCTGTGTGTAAACCTGGTTGATCATGTCCGGCAATTTGTCGAAGGAGTCTGGAACGAAAAATCCTGCTTCCTTCATGGCCTTGTTCTTGGCAGCTGCAGTCTCCATGTCACCTCGAGCCTGAGCACCGGCGTGTCCGAACTGCACCTCTGTGGTGAAGCAGGATGCGCAAGTACCGACGCACCAAGCAATGACTGGCTTTGTGATGCGGCCCTTCTTCTTGGCATCAATGAGGTCGTACTCGTCCAGGCCACCAACTTCACCCAGCAAGAGCAGCATTTTTGCCTTGGGGTCGTCCTGGTATCGCAGGAAGTGGTCCAAGAAGCGGCTGCCAGGGTAGCGGTCACCACCAATTGCCACACCTTCATAAACACCATCGGAGTTGCGGGCAACAATGTTGTTCAGCTCGTTGGACATTCCTCCCGACTTGGAGACGTAGGCGACAGATCCAGGGCGGTAGAGGCGAGACATCACAATGTTGTCCAACATGCCGCCAGTGTTGCCAATGCGCAGGCAGCCAGGCTTGATGCCACCCACAGTGGCTGGGCCAATGATGCCTACGCCCTTCTTCTCTGCGACTTTGATGATGTCCCGGGTCTGTTGCTCTGGCACGCCCTCTGCAATGATGGCGATGGTCTTGAGGTTGGTGTGGTTCATTGCCTCCATGGTTGTCTCGTGCACTGATCGGAATGACGCGAAGTTCACAAAAACGGAAGTGTTGGGGTGCTTCTGCACTGCCTCCTTTGTGGTGGTGTAGACAGGCATCAAGATCTCTTCAGTGCCCCAGTAGAACTTCACGTAGTGGTTTCCGGAGAAAGGGAAGATCATAGCCTCGACGGAAGGCTTCTTGCGTTTGCACATGTAGTCGAAATCCAACATTCCTTGAACAGCGCGGTTCTGCATACCATAGACAATCGATGTGGTGTCCGGCGTGGCAGTGACCAAGGTGTGTTTGGTTCCTGCGGGTGCGGGTGGGTGGCCCTTGCCGACTGGCTTGGCTCCCTTGAGGTCAATCATTTTGCGGACAGGTGGTCCAGCTGGAGCGGAAAGGTCTGGCTCTGGAAGAGGGTCCACCAGGCCCAAGGCCATGGGGATGATTGCGGTGATGTGGGTCTCAGGACCGTAAACCTTGATGCCAAGGCCCAACTTGTCACTGGCAGCCTTGACTTTGCGCAAACCTTCCAAGTAGTTTGGCCCTGCACGACGGATCAAGATTTTGATCTTGTTCTCCTTGATCTCATCGGCATACTCCTGGAGAGCCTTGATGAGGCCTGTGAAGGTTGCTGCAACGTCGGTGAAGTTGGCAATGCCACCACCGATGATCAGGAACTTTCCTTCTGGGTGTTTGTACTTCATCATCAAAGAAAGCAGAGTCTTGGCATAGACAAAGGTCTCTTCAGTGGAAGGGGCTCCAGAATACTCACCGTAGTTGGCAAGTTCATGGCCCATGCCGTAATCTGCAACCGTGTCTGCGTACACCACAGAAGCACCTCCTCCTGCAACCATGGTCCAAACACGGCCCTTCTCATTGAGGATCGTCAATTTCAGGGATGCACCCGTTCGGCCATCCATGTCTCGGATCAGTGCTTCCTCAGGGTAGGCTGCGCGGCCAAAGGGAGGTGGCCAATCAAGCTCTCCCCATTTCTGCGCAGTGAGGAAGTTGGCAGTCTCATCAAGTTTGGCAGCCATGTCCAGGGGCACCACGGTGTTGTCATCCAACATAACCAAAGGGTTGATCTCCAAGTATGCAAAGTGCAAGTCTGTGTAGAACTTGTACAAACTGCAAATGAACGAGGCCATGCTTCCCTGCTTTGCAGCTGTCAGCTTGGTGAGGAGCTTCTGGGTCACCATAGCTTCCGTCAAAGCCTCACCTGTGGGAATTTCCAACCGCTCAGCCTTTGCATCCACATCACCGACATCCACCCCACCTTCATGGTAAAAGAGAATTTCGTCATGGTAGCGATGGGAAAGCATGCAGATGTAGTGTTCCTGTTCTTGCTTGTGAGGCACAAAAGGTTCGACAAGGAAGTGCGTCAGCTGCCCAGTCACATGCTCGACTTTCTGCTCCTTGCACATTCGGTCCATCACCCACTGCTTTGCCTCGTCAAAAGTCTTGTTCACCGCAATCAGGCCAGCCTTGCCACGGCGCTTGATCAGCTGATCTGGCTTGGCCACCAAATTGGTGGTCTTCAACCAGGGGTTCTGCTCCAAGATCTTGTCCCAACTGCCATTGCTGGTGGAATCCAACACGGAGGGGGTCACGAGAACTCCAGCATGGCCCATCTTGTGCTTGCCACCAGAAATTTCCGGCAGCAGCTTCTCCAACAAAGCCTTGCCGGCATGCTCCCGAATCGGCTTCACGGACATGGCTCACTGACTACTTCAAACAGGTGCTGTACTAGTCTGGACTCTCAAAATGGCTCGGCTTGACATTCTTGATATTTCTTGATGATGCCACCCAACTGATGGACACTCATTGATCTGTTGAATTATCATATTTCACTAACCTGAAATGACTTGAAATAATGCCATTTGGGGATTCCCCTAACCATGATTCCAGTGAGGTCACAGTGATGTGACTATAGTTGGCCCAGATTGATGGATGATCTTGACAGAAGAAATCTAGGCTGCCGACAAAGTGCCGCTGAGCCTGGAAACATGGTGGCAGTGCCAAGTGCCAACTTTGGGGAAACATGGTGGATGGTGAAAACCCTTAAGGTGCAACCCATTGGATCCGCTAACCCCTTCTCCCCTGATATTGAACAAATTTAAACAATATGAAATACTATGAATCAACGTTGAAATACCATGAACTACCCATGAGCACAGCATATGGGCCCCAAAAATGGATAGATCCTCATGGACCCAGTACTAAACCATGGTTTCTTGGGGGATATCCAAGATAGATCATAGCAATATCCAGGCGGTGGTCATTGGGCAAGAAATGCAAGGCCTGTTCTTTCTTAATGAAAGATCAACAGCAATTCACAAGGAGCCTTCCCATACTCCACCATGGCCGCTTGGTAGAGCTTCATCGACTCTTGCCTTAACACTGGCGTTCCCTTCGCAATTGGCCACAATATCACGACCAAACACTGAGAAGGCGACACTCCTTTCAAATCCTTGTGCGGGTCTACATCCTTTGCGAGGTCGCGGGCCTTTGACAGGTCCCATGGGCTATACATGTGATTCTGCACAATAGTTACAGTATCACAAAGCGATGCATGAAGTTCATGAAGCATGCCTCCCATTGGCACTTTGCAGTGCAAGTTAGCTGGAGCTAGTTCCACCAGTGCCCACCTTGCTGTACAACTCATTCCCTCGACGTCGAAAAATGTTGGACCTGGTGTCATCACATCCAAGGCCGAGCTTTCAAGAAAGGGACAGTGGCCACGTTGGCTACGACGGCTACGACAGAGCTAGGAATTTGATGCCGCTGCGCCTTTCCAGTGCGGAGGTTGCTGCCTGCCACCAGCTCTGGAGCGCTACACTTGCTGCAAAGCATCACAAGGATTCGAAGATAGTTAAGATCACAAACCATTAATTTTATCATGTTTTCTGCAGGTGTTTGCTCTTCGTACCTCGAAACCTTCCGGCAAATAGCTTGTAGTGCTTGCAGACATCGATGGGCTCACACCACCTGAGCCACCAAATGCTATGGGCACCTCAAGGACATCATCGGCTAGCGGCTAAGAAACACAGCTGGCACTGGCTGGCACTGGCTGGCACAGGGATTTGACCACCTGGCCTGGGCAAAGCTATTTGCCACAAGAATGGAGCCCCATCATGCCGTTCTTTGTCTGATGCAGTAATTGGTACTGTCCACATGATGCTTGGCAGACATGCACCTGCGAGTTGTGACCATGTCTGGCTGCTAGCTTCTAGGGGTGTGGAAACCATGGTGTTGAGAAGGCATCTCAAACTTCAAACCATGCTAAGCCTTCTAAGAAATTATATGCATTGCTTTCTTCAGCTGCTGTACGTGATCATCTTCCATATCCCGCGGATATGTCTGGAGCCTGGACCGCCAAGCATCATGACAACGTTCTTTGCTACAGTGGATTCTTCGTAGCTCAGTGTAGTTTCTCTCACCCACTTCATCTCCAGTCAACCGAAAGCACCACGCCCACCTTGCAGCTGCTTCAGTTTCGGTCGCGGGAAATCGATTCGTCAAGTTGGCTTCCCAGTGAAGCAGCCAAGTACGGCGCTGATCCAACAGATCAAGCGACATCAAGCGACGTCAAGCGACGTCAAGCGACGTCAAGCGACGTCAAGCGACGTCAAGCAACGTCAAGCGACGTCAAGCGACGTCAAGCGACGTCAAGCAACGTCAAGCGACGTCAAGCGACGTCAAGCGACGCAACCGGGCAGATCCGACAGATCCGACAGATCCGACAGGTCCGACATCACTCAGGAAGTCTTTTTGTGGTTCGCCTTTGGACTCGTCGCCTGCAGCGATGTGTTGAAGTGCTGGATGCAATGCAGGTGCCGGCATGGCTGCGAAATCCTTTTTGTGCTGCAGTTTGTCTCTGCCCTTTTCTACTTCTTACATGAGTCCCAAAAAAAAAGTATTACTGCACATTTATCATATGTTATTATCATGTATAGCTTGCATGGAGTGAGTTATACAGATTTATCCTGCCCATATCCTTTGAGGCTGCCAGGATTTTTCAGGATGCAGTGGGGTGCGACCGAGCCTTCTTCTTTGCATCTGCCGCACTTACCAAGGACAGGATCTCATCATCTGCATAGCCAAATCGAGCCTGCAACGATTTTGGGGCTGATGCGGAGGTTGCCTTAGATGGTGGTACCCCAAAACGGATGGTGTACAAGTTTACAAAGTTTATAATGGAAAATCCTATTGAAATGGATGATTTGGTGGCACCCCCATTTATGGAAACCCCCAAACTTCAGACATGGATCATTCCATGGATCATTGGAATCACTGGTGCATCACCGGTGCATCACCCTCAAATAGCATTTGCTGCTTTGGGCCTTGTATCGGCTGAAAATGTCTTTGACTGATTCAGCCACTTTTGCGTGAACCTGGGCCAATGGCAAGGAGTCTGAAAGAATAAGGAAAATAAATGACTAATACTATACTTACACATGCACTACGGAAATGATGCGTTAGTGCTGACTAAGACATGGCCACACCATCTCTAGAAGCCTGAGTTCTGGTTTCCCATGTTTTCCCAAACTACTTACTGTGGAACAACTTGCAACTCTTGCGGATGAAAATGATCAAAAAAAAAAAATTCAAAAGCTCACCTGCATTCCAATTAATTGCAATGGTCCGGGTCCAGCCTCGTCCAGGTACTTTTCATCCACCGGTTTCTGTTGTCTCACCTTGATGGGCTCGCCCCAAACAAAGCCCAGACTAGGCTCCAGGAAACCCATCAGGGTCAGGCCACGGCCACGCAACCTGAGCTGCCCGCTATCAATCCCAAAATTTCTGGATTCACTCCGCAGATATGTTGGCCAAGTCGGATTAATACAACGATGAATGTGAACCCCGCTGTTGATCATTGGAGTACCGTTCTGCAGAGCAACTCACTTTTGGTCTATTGTTGTCCTTAACGGATGGCCCGGATGGCCCGGATGGCCCGGATGGCCCAGATGGCTGGCGCCGATGATTCATCGGCTGAGTTTACATCTGCAAGGTCTCAGGCACGACGGATGTCTTCATGATGGTTTTTTGACGTGTATCGTTGTATTATGCTGATTATGCTGTATTGAACTTCAACCTGTTCAACATGGTATGGTTGGTATGGTCAGTGCCCGAGACGAAGACGCTTAATTAGAGATTTGGCGTGTGGAAAACATGGCGGAGAAAGCCAAAGCATGGATATGCACGATCATGTTGCTCACGCAGCACGTGCTTCCGCAAAATTTCTAATGATTCTAATGGAAGAATATGGATGAATATTGAAGAATTAAATCCTTGACATCCACGTTTTTTAACAGTGGTTATCAAATACCCGTTGCTTATACACCTTAGCCTGGAGCCAAGGATTTAAGCCAAGATTTGGGATAGAATCCAGCTGGTCTGAGACCAAAGGGCCCTGGATAGAATCCCTGGCTTGACCCCACGGTAAAAACAATGCAAAATATAAAAAAAAACAGCAAAGGGTTTTGGAGATAAAATCCAAAGGCTTGAGATAACCCAACGAGTGATCAGAAAGACTATGTTAGAGATAGAATCCCTGGGCCCGAGAAGCACATGCCAAAAGTGTCTTCAAGATAAAAACCAAGGGCCCAAGATCCAAGCCAATGCCTGATGACAACGCCTGATGTTCCCGATTGCTGGATGATGCCAGCTCGTGCCGAGCGACGCGTGCCCCCTTTTCCGTCTTTCCCAAATTGCTCCCGTTGTTCGGCCTCCATTGTCCCACTTTTGGTTTTTCAGATGAGTCCAGTCCAAAACCAACCAGAAGGCACATTCAGGGCAACTGCCATGGGTGAAACCAAGGTTGTCGCAGCAGACAGAATTGGCTTGGTGCTTCAGATTGCGGACACCAAACTTGGAGCTGATGGAGTGCAAGTCACGCTGACAGCGAAAGCACTTGAAGTAGTGAAACATGCCCATGAATGGACCAGCTGGCCCAAAGCCTTGCATGGGACCAAAGGATCTGCGAAGTTGACACGAGAGATTCCAGGAACATCAGGAAAGCAAAAGATTTGGTGGCGAATTGTGGCGAAGTTTGGCAAGGGTGCTATGCAGGGTGCAGTGCAGGGTGCTGTGCAGGCTGCTAGGCTGCTCTCCAGACTGCGGTGGCGAGGTCTGGCAAAGGTGCTTTGCAGGGTGCTGTGCAGGGTCTGTGTAGGCTATTAGGCTGCTTGGGCGGCTGCTGTCCAAACCATTGCCGGAAATAAAATCCAAGGTTTGAGGTTTTGGAATTCCCAAGGTCCCAGGATGAAATCCCATGAGCTGAGATTTGGCATTTTATTAACTAGGCCAAGGATGCCAAAGATAAAATCCAAGGTCTGACAAACAAGCATAGATATATCATAGAAATAAAATCCCTTGGTCTAGCATCCAACATCTTCTCATTGTTTGAAGCCGTGCTCTGGATAAAATCCATGGGTCAAACATCAAATTTTCCCTGGCTGAAATCCCTAAACAGGTTTGAAGACTTTAACTCAAGGCTCCAGCCTAGGGATTTTAGCCAGGAATAACCGACGGGTGTTTATCAAAAGCCGCCCTCTGGTCCCTGTCCAGCAAGCTCCTGGATGTAAGTGATGTCGTCCCAAGGATGGCGATACAGCGGCTGCTTCAGCCTCAGCTGGTCAAGGTAGTGCCCGATGAAGCCAATAGATCGACCTAAAACGAAGAGACCGTTGAGAGTGCCGAAAGCCATCAAATCCTCACACTCTTCCTTGGAGAACGCGCCACAGGAGCGAATCATGTCCACGAAAGACACAGCAATGCAGCCATCCACGTTCAGAATCAGGTTTGCTCTCTTGCGAGTGGTAATCTGTTCCACTTCCAGGGCATAGTCCAGCACTGGTGTGGTTTTAAAGTTCTTCTTCGCAAATCCCTTGATGATTTCCACTCGCTGGTCAGGGTTTGCCAAGGACTTGATCCTGTGTCCGATGCCCATGATCAGTTGGTTGCTCTTCTTCATCTTCTCAATCCAGTCCTTGGGTGCAACACCGCTGCTCTGTGCATCAGCAAACATTTTGGCAGCATCATCCAATGCGCCACCAAAGCGAGGACCAATGGTCAGCAGGCCACTGCACAAAGAAGAGACGAGATCCTTGCCTGCGCGGGCTGTGACAATGGTGTTGTGTGCACCGCTCACTGCAGGGCCATGGTCTGCGGTGACCATCAAAATCATCTCAATGAACTTGGTGCAGTAATCCGGGAGCTGTCGGCGGAACCACAGCAGAGAGAGCGCGCCTCCGATGCCAATGTCCTTCTGGAAGACGTCGGAGATAGGCATTCCACAGTAGGTGAGCTCCTCTCCACGATCATCAGAGATAGACGAGATGAAGTTGGCAGGCTTCCTGATCATGCCCAGCTTCTTGGCCCAGGTGTAGTCCATTGGCACCTGAGGGGTCTCGCCTTCTGGCGTCTCGACAATTTCGCCCTCCATGACGAGCTGTGTGTAAACCTGGTTGATCATGTTCGGCAATTTGTCGAAGGAGTCTGGAACGAAAAATCCTGCTTCCTTCATGGCCTTGTTCTTGGCAGCTGCAGTCTCCATGTCACCTCGAGCCTGAGCACCGGCGTGTCCGAACTGCACCTCTGTGGTGAAGCAGGATGCGCAAGTACCGACGCACCAAGCAATGACTGGCTTTGTGATGCGGCCCTTCTTCTTGGCATCAATGAGGTCGTACTCGTCCAGGCCACCAACTTCACCCAGCAAGAGCAGCATTTTTGCCTTGGGGTCGTCCTGGTATCGCAGGAAGTGGTCCAAGAAGCGGCTGCCAGGGTAGCGGTCACCACCAATTGCCACACCTTCATAAACACCATCGGAGTTGCGGGCAACAATGTTGTTCAGCTCGTTGGACATTCCTCCCGACTTGGAGACGTAGGCGACAGATCCAGGGCGGTAGAGGCGAGACATCACAATGTTGTCCAACATGCCGCCAGTGTTGCCAATGCGCAGGCAGCCAGGCTTGATGCCACCCACAGTGGCTGGGCCAATGATGCCTACGCCCTTCTTCTCTGCGACTTTGATGATGTCCCGGGTCTGTTGCTCTGGCACGCCCTCTGCAATGATGGCGATGGTCTTGAGGTTGGTGTGGTTCATTGCCTCCATGGTTGTCTCGTGCACTGATCGGAATGAGGCGAAGTTCACAAAAACGGAAGTGTTGGGGTGCTTCTGCACTGCCTCCTTTGTGGTGGTGTAGACAGGCATCAAGATCTCTTCAGTGCCCCAGTAGAACTTCACGTAGTGGTTTCCGGAGAAAGGGAAGATCATAGCCTCGACGGAAGGCTTCTTGCGTTTGCACATGTAGTCGAAATCCAACATTCCTTGAACAGCGCGGTTCTGCATACCATAGACAATCGATGTGGTGTCCGGCGTGGCAGTGACCAAGGTGTGTTTGGTTCCTGCGGGTGCGGGTGGGTGGCCCTTGCCGACTGGCTTGGCTCCCTTGAGGTCAATCATTTTGCGGACAGGTGGTCCAGCTGGAGCGGAAAGGTCTGGCTCTGGAAGAGGGTCCACCAGGCCCAAGGCCATGGGGATGATTGCGGTGATGTGGGTCTCAGGACCGTAAACCTTGATGCCAAGGCCCAACTTGTCACTGGCAGCCTTGACTTTGCGCAAACCTTCCAAGTAGTTTGGCCCTGCACGACGGATCAAGATTTTGATCTTGTTCTCCTTGATCTCATCGGCATACTCCTGGAGAGCCTTGATGAGGCCTGTGAAGGTTGCTGCAACGTCGGTGAAGTTGGCAATGCCACCACCGATGATCAGGAACTTTCCTTCTGGGTGTTTGTACTTCATCATCAAAGAAAGCAGAGTCTTGGCATAGACAAAGGTCTCTTCAGTGGAAGGGGCTCCAGAATACTCACCGTAGTTGGCAAGTTCATGGCCCATGCCGTAATCTGCAACCGTGTCTGCGTACACCACAGAAGCACCTCCTCCTGCAACCATGGTCCAAACACGGCCCTTCTCATTGAGGATCGTCAATTTCAGGGATGCACCCGTTCGGCCATCCATGTCTCGGATCAGTGCTTCCTCAGGATAGGCTGCGCGGCCAAAGGGAGGTGGCCAATCAAGCTCTCCCCATTTCTGCGCAGTGAGGAAGTTGGCAGTCTCATCAAGTTTGGCAGCCATGTCCAGGGGCACCACCGTGTTGTCATCCAACATAACCAAAGGGTTGATCTCCAAGTATGCAAAGTGCAAGTCTGTGTAGAACTTGTACAAACTGCAAATGAACGAGGCCATGCTTCCCTGCTTTGCAGCTGTCAGCTTGGTGAGCAGCTTCTGGGTCACCATAGCTTCCGTCAAAGCCTCACCTGTGGGAATTTCCAACCGCTCAGCCTTTGCATCCACATCACCGACATCCACCCCACCTTCATGGTAAAAGAGAATTTCGTCATGGTAGCGATGGGAAAGCATGCAAATGTAGTGTTCCTGTTCTTGCTTGTGAGGCACAAAAGGTTCGACAAGGAAGTGCGTCAGCTGCCCAGTCACATGCTCGACTTTCTGCTCTTTGCACATTCGGTCCATCACCCACTGCTTTGCCTCGTCAAAAGTCTTGTTCACCGCAATCAGGCCAGCCTTGCCACGGCGCTTGATCAACTGATCTGGCTTGGCCACCAAATTGGTGGTCTTCAACCAGGGGTTCTGCTCCAAGATCTTGTCCCAACTGCCATTGCTGGTGGAATCCAACACGGAGGGGGTCACGAGAACTCCAGCATGGCCCATCTTGTGCTTGCCACCAGAAATTTCCGGCAGCAGCTTCTCCAACAAAGCCTTGCCGGCATGCTCCCGAATCGGTTTTACGGACATGGCTCACTGACTACTGGAAACAGGTGCTGTACTAGTCTGGACTCTCAAAATGGCTCGGCTTGACATTCTTGATATTTCTTGATGATGCCACCCAACTCATGGACATTCATTGATCTGGTAAATTATCGTATCACTAAACTGAAATGACTTGAAATAATGCCATTTGGGGATTCCCCTAACCATGATTCCAGTGAGGTCACAGTGATGTGACTATAGTTGGCCCAGATTGATGGATGATCTTGACAGAAGAAATCTAGGCTGCCGACAAAGTGCCGCTGAGCCTGGCAAATGGTGGCAGTGCCAACTTTGGGGAAACAATGATAAACATGGTGGATGGTGGAAACCCTTAAGGTGCAACCCATTGGATCCGCTAACCCCTTCCCCCCTGATATTAAACAATTTTAAACAATATGAAATACTATGAATCAACGTTGAAATACCATGAAATACCCATGAGCACAGCATATGGGCCCCAAAAATGGATAGATCCTCATGGATCCAGTACTAAACCATGCTTTCTTGCGGGATATCCAAGATAGATCAACAGCAATTCACAAGGAGCCTTCCCATACTCCACCATGGCCGCTTGGTAGAGCTTCATCGACTCTTGCCTTAACACCGGCGTTCCCTTCGCAATTGGCCACAATATCACGACCAAACACTGAGAAGGCGACACTCCTTTCAAATCCTTGTACGGGTCTACATCCTTTGCGAGATCGCGGGCCTTTGACAGGTCCCATGGGCTACACATGTGATTCAACAGTTGTCACAATGCGATGCATAAAGTTCATGAAGCATGCCTCCCATTGGCACTTTGAAGTGCAAGTTAGCTGGAGCTAGTTCCACCAGTGCCCACCTTGCTGTACGACTCATTCCCTCGACGTCGAAAAATGTTGGACCTGGTGTCATCACATCCAAGGCCGAGCTTTCAAGAAAGGGACAGTGGCCACGTTGGCTACGACGGCTACGACAGAGCTAGGAATTTGATGCCGCTGCGCCTTTCCAGCGCGGAGGTTGCTGCCTGCCACAGCTCTGGAGCGCTACACTTGCTGCAAAGCATCACAAGGATTCAAAGCCCTTGAAATTGGATCATCCAAGGAAGGAATGGGGTGGACATAAAAATAGTTGAGATCACAAACCGTTAATTTTATCATTTTTTCTGCAGGTGTTTGCTCTTCGTACCTCGAAACCTTCCGGCAAATAGCTTGTAGTGCTTGCAGACATCGATGGGCTCACACTACCTGAGCCACCAAATGCTACAGGCACCTCAAGGACATCATCGGCTAGCGGCTAAGAAACACAGCTGGCACTGGCTGGCACTGGCTGGCACAGGGATTTTACCACCAGGCCTGGGCAAAGCTATTTGCGACAAGAATGGAGCCCCATCATGCCGTTCTTTGTCTGATGCTGAGTAATTGGTACTGTCCACATGATGCTTGGCAGACATGCACCTGCGAGTTGTGACCATGTCTGGCTGCTAGCTTCTAGGGGTGTGGAAACCATGCTAAGCCTTCTAAGCCATTATACGCATTGCTTTCTTCAGCTGCTGTACGTGATCATCTTCCATATCCCGCGGATATGTCTGGAGCCAGGACCGCCAAGCATCATGACAACGTTCTTTGCTACAGTGGATTCTTCGTAGCTCAGTGTACTTCAACATCTTTGATTCTCGTGGGTCTCTCCCCCACTTCATCTCCAGTCAACCGAAAGCACCACGCCCACCTTGCAGCTGCTTCAGTTTCGGTCGCGGGAAATCGATTCGTCAAGTTGGCTTCCCAGTGAAGCAGCCAAGTACGGCGCTGATCCAACAGATCAAGCGACATCAAGCGACGTCAAGCGACGTCAAGCGACGTCAAGCGACGTCAAGCGACGTCAAGCAACGTCAAGCGACGTCAAGCGACGTCAAGCGACGTCAAGCAACGTCAAGCGACGTCAAGCGACGTCAAGCGACGCAACCGGGCAGATCCGACAGATCCGACAGATCCGACAGGTCCGACATCACTCAGGAAGTCTTTTTGTGGTTCGCCTTTGGACTCGTCGCCTGCAGCGATGTGTTGAAGTGCTGGATGCAATGCAGGTGCCGGCATGGCTGCGAAATCCTTTCTGTGCTGCAGTTTGTCTCTGCCCTTTTCTACTTCTTACATGAGTCCCAAAAAAAAAGTATTACTGCACATTTATCATATTTTATTATTTTGTATAGCTTGCATGGAGTGAGTTATACAGATTTATCCAGTCCATATCCTTTTGAGGCTGCCAGGATTTTTCAGGATGCAGTGGGGTGCGACCGAGCCTTCTTCTTTGCATCTGCCGCACTTACCAAGGACAGGATCTCATCATCTGCATAGCCAAATCGAGCCTGCAACGATTTTGGGGTTGATGCGGAGGTTGCCTTAGATGGTGGTACCCCAAAACGGATGGTGTACAAGTTTACAAACGTTATAATGGAAAATCCTATTGAAATGGATGATTTGGTGGCACCCCCATTTATGGAAACCCCCAAACTTCAGACATGGATCATTCCATGGATCATTGGAATCACTGGCGCATCACCGGTGCATCACCCTCAAATAGCATTTGCTGCTTTGGGCCTTGTATCGGCTGAAGATGTCTTTGACTGATTCAGCCACTTTTGCGTGAACCTGGGCCAATGGCAAGGAGTCTGAAAGAATAAGGAAAATAAATGACTAATACTATACTTACACATGCACTACGGAAATGATGCGTTAGTGCTGACTAAGACATGGCCACACCATCTCTAGAAGCCTGAGTTCTGGTTTCCCATGTTTTCCCAAACTACTTACTGTGGAACAACTTGCAACTCTTGCGGATGAAAATGATCAAAAAGAAAAAGTTCAAAGGCTCACCTGCATTCCAATTAATTGCAATGGTCCGGGTCCAGCCTCGTCCAGGTACTTTTCATCCACCGGTTTCTGTTGTCTCACCTTGATGGGCTCGCCCCAAACAAAGCCCAGACTAGGCTCCAGGAAACCCATCAGGGTCAGGCCACGGCCACGCAACCTGAGCTGCCCGCTATCAATCCCAAAATTTCTGGATTCACTCCGCAGATATGTTGGCCAAGTCGGATTAATACAACGATGAATGTGAACCCCGCTGTTGATCATTGGAGTACCGTTCTGCAGAGCAACTCACTTTTGGTCTATTGTTGTCCTTAACGGATGGCCCGGATGGCCCGGATGGCCCAGATGGCTGGCGCCGATGATTCATCGGCTGAGTTTACATCTGCAAGGTCTCAGGCACGACGGATGTCTTCATGATGGTCTTTTGACGTGCATCGTAATGTTGTATTATGCTGATTATGCTGTATTGAACTTCAACCTGTTCAATATGGTATGGTTGGTATGGTCGTGGTTCATTGCTTTCCCCGTTCAGTGCCCGAGACGAAGACGCTTAATTAGAGATTTGGCGTGTGGAAAACATGGCGGAGAAAGCCAAGCATGGATATGCACGATCATGTTGCTCACGCAGCGCGTGCTTCCGCAAAATTTCTAATGATTCTAATGGAAGAATATGGATGAATATGGAAGAACTAAATCCTCATCCACGGTTTTTTAACAGTGGCTATCAAAAGCCGCCCTCTGGTCCCTGTCCAGCAAGCTCCTGGATGTAAGTGATGTCGTCCCAAGGATGACGATACAGCGGCTGCTTCAGCCTCAGCTGGTCAAGGTAGTGCCCGATGAAGCCAATAGATCGACCTAAAACGAAGAGACCGTTGAGAGTGCCGAAAGCCATCAAATCCTCACACTCTTCCTTGGAGAATGCACCACAGGAGCGAATCATGTCCACGAAAGACACAGCAATGCAGCCATCCACGTTCAGAATCAGGTTTGCTCTCTTGCGAGTTGTAATCTGTTCCACTTCCAGGGCATAGTCCAGCACTGGTGTGGTTTTAAAGTTCTTCTTCGCAAATCCCTTGATGATTTCCACTCGCTGGTCAGGGTTTGCCAAGGACTTGATCCTGTGTCCGATGCCCATGATCAGTTGGTTGCTCTTCTTCATCTTCTCAATCCAGTCCTTGGGTGCAACACCGCTGCTCTGTGCATCAGCAAACATTTTGGCAGCATCATCCAATGCGCCACCAAAGCGAGGACCAATGGTCAGCAAGCCACTGCACAAAGAAGAGACGAGATCCTTGCCTGCGCGGGCTGTGACAATGGTGTTGTGTGCACCGCTCACTGCAGGGCCATGGTCTGCGGTGACCATCAAAATCATCTCAATGAACTTGGTGCAGTAGTCCGGGAGCTGTCGGCGGAACCACAGCAGAGAGAGCGCGCCTCCGATGCCAATGTCCTTCTGGAAGACGTCGGAGATAGGCATTCCACAGTAGGTGAGCTCCTCTCCACGATCATCAGAGATAGACGAGATGAAGTTGGCAGGCTTCCTGATCATGCCCAGCTTCTTGGCCCAGGTGTAGTCCATTGGCACCTGAGGGGTCTCGCCTTCTGGCGTCTCGACAATTTCGCCCTCCATGACGAGCTGTGTGTAAACCTGGTTGATCATGTCCGGCAATTTGTCGAAGGAGTCTGGAACGAAAAATCCTGCTTCCTTCATGGCCTTGTTCTTGGCAGCTGCAGTCTCCATGTCACCTCGAGCCTGAGCACCGGCGTGTCCGAACTGCACCTCTGTGGTGAAGCAGGATGCGCAAGTACCGACGCACCAAGCAATGACTGGCTTTGTGATGCGGCCCTTCTTCTTGGCATCAATGAGGTCGTACTCGTCCAGGCCACCAACTTCACCCAGCAAGAGCAGCATTTTTGCCTTGGGGTCGTCCTGGTATCGCAGGAAGTGGTCCAAGAAGCGGCTGCCAGGGTAGCGGTCACCACCAATTGCCACACCTTCATAAACACCATCGGAGTTGCGGGCAACAATGTTGTTCAGCTCGTTGGACATTCCTCCGGACTTGGAGACGTAGGCGACAGATCCAGGGCGGTAGAGGCGAGACATCACAATGTTGTCCAACATGCCGCCAGTGTTGCCAATGCGCAGGCAGCCAGGCTTGATGCCACCCACAGTGGCTGGGCCAATGATGCCTACGCCCTTCTTCTCTGCGACTTTGATGATGTCCCGGGTCTGTTGCTCTGGCACGCCCTCTGCAATGATGGCGATGGTCTTGAGGTTGGTGTGGTTCATTGCCTCCATGGTTGTCTCGTGCACTGATCGGAATGACGCAAAGTTCACAAAAACGGAAGTGTTGGGGTGCTTCTGCACTGCCTCCTTTGTGGTGGTGTAGACAGGCATCAAGATCTCTTCAGTGCCCCAGTAGAACTTCACGTAGTGGTTTCCGGAGAAAGGGAAGATCATAGCCTCGACGGAAGGCTTCTTGCGTTTGCACATGTAGTCGAAATCCAGCATTCCTTGAACAGCGCGGTTCTGCATACCATAGACAATCGATGTGGTGTCCGGCGTGGCAGTGACCAAGGTGTGTTTGGTTCCTGCGGGTGCGGGTGGGTGGCCCTTGCCGACTGGCTTGGCTCCCTTGAGGTCAATCATTTTGCGGACAGGTGGTCCAGCTGGAGCGGAAAGGTCTGGCTCTGGAAGAGGGTCCACCAGGCCCAAGGCCATGGGGATGATTGCGGTGATGTGGGTCTCAGGACCATAAACCTTGATGCCAAGGCCCAACTTGTCACTGGCAGCCTTGACTTTGCGCAAACCTTCCAAGTAGTTTGGCCCTGCACGACGGATCAAGATTTTGATCTTGTTCTCCTTGATCTCATCGGCATACTCCTGGAGAGCCTTGATGAGGCCTGTGAAGGTTGCTGCAACGTCGGTGAAGTTGGCAATGCCACCACCGATGATCAGGAACTTTCCTTCTGGGTGTTTGTACTTCATCATCAAAGAAAGCAGAGTCTTGGCATAGACAAAGGTCTCTTCAGTGGAAGGGGCTCCAGAATACTCACCGTAGTTGGCAAGTTCATGGCCCATGCCGTAATCTGCAACCGTGTCTGCGTACACCACAGAAGCACCTCCTCCTGCAACCATGGTCCAAACACGGCCCTTCTCATTGAGGATCGTCAATTTCAGGGATGCACCCGTTCGGCCATCCATGTCTCGGATCAGTGCTTCCTCAGGATAGGCTGCGCGGCCAAAGGGAGGTGGCCAATCAAGCTCTCCCCATTTCTGCGCAGTGAGGAAGTTGGCAGTCTCATCAAGTTTGGCTGCCATGTCCAGGGGCACCACGGTGTTGTCATCCAACATAACCAAAGGGTTGATCTCCAAGTATGCAAAGTGCAAGTCTGTGTAGAACTTGTACAAACTGCAAATGAACGAGGCCATGCTTCCCTGCTTTGCAGCTGTCAGCTTGGTGAGCAGCTTCTGGGTCACCATAGCTTCCGTCAAAGCCTCACCTGTGGGAATTTCCAACCGCTCAGCCTTTGCATCCACATCACCGACATCCACCCCACCTTCATGGTAAAAGAGAATTTCGTCATGGTAGCGATGGGAAAGCATGCAAATGTAGTGTTCCTGTTCTTGCTTGTGAGGCACAAAAGGTTCGACAAGGAAGTGCGTCAGCTGCCCAGTCACATGCTCGACTTTCTGCTCTTTGCACATTCGGTCCATCACCCACTGCTTTGCCTCGTCAAAAGTCTTGTTCACCGCAATCAGGCCAGCCTTGCCACGGCGCTTGATCAACTGATCTGGCTTAGCCACCAAATTGGTGGTCTTCAACCAGGGGTTCTGCTCCAAGATCTTGTCCCAACTGCCATTGCTGGTGGAATCCAACACGGAGGGGGTCACGAGAACTCCAGCATGGCCCATCTTGTGCTTGCCACCAGAAATTTCCGGCAGCAGCTTCTCCAACAAAGCCTTGCCGGCATGCTCCCGAATCGGTTTTACGGACATGGCTCACTGACTACTGGAAACAGGTGCTGTACTAGTCTGGACTCTCAAAATGGCTCGGCTTGACATTCTTGATATTTCTTGATGATGCCACCCAGCTGATGGACATTCATTGATCTGTTAAATTATCATATTTCACTAACCTGAAATGACTTGAAATAATGCCATTTGGGGATTCCCCTAACCATGATTCCAGTGAGGTCACAGTGATGTGACTATAGTTGGCCCAGATTGATGGATGATCTTGACAGAAGAAATCTAGGCTGCCGACAAAGTGCCGCTGAGCCTGGCAAATGGTGGCAGTGCCAACTTTGGGGAAACAATGATAAACATGGTGGATGGTGGAAACCCTTAAGGTGCAACCCATTCGATCCGCTAACCCCTTCCCCCCTGATATTAAACAAAATTAAACCATATGACATATACCATGAACTACCCATGAGCACAGCATATGGGCCCTTAAAAATGGATAGATCCTCATGGGTCCAGTACTAAACCATGGTTTTTTGGAGGATATTGAAGATTCCGGGGAAGGGTCCCCAAGAATCCCCACACCTCAAGGGCCGCAGAAGGCTCTGAATAAAATGTGGAAGACGGAAGGTATGATGGATCCACCTCAAGCAGTGGTTCCAGTGGTTCCAACAAATGGGGGGAATCCAAATAGCAATTTGCCTAGGGATACGCCATGATAAACGTGGTAATAAAATGTAATAAACCTCGCAATAAAATGCAATAAACCATTTTAAAAAAATGAATACACACCGAAAATTCCTTGAAAAATGGTGGTACTGTAATTGCCCTGTTTTTCGGACAACCCCATGTTTGAACCATCCTCGATTTTCCAGAAAAGAATGAGGCCCCAACTTCTCGCCAAAGCAGAAGCCTGGAATGATGTCCAAGCCGTTCTCAATGGAGATCTTGACGAAGCCTTTCCGGTCCGTCATCACTAGCTGGGTCTCCTTGGACTCACCATCGGTCAGGTTCATCTCATCAATACCTCCTGGAAGAAGAATCAGGTTCTCACCTGGCGACTGAAAATGACTGGACTGGAACCACTGGAACCTGAACATGTCAATCCGTTTCTAGCAAATGCCCAAGGTGCCACAGCCATTTTTTCAAAATTGTAAGGCGCCATGACCACCGAAATGCTCGACTTTGGTAAGTAACAACACTATTTGCCGCAGTGGCTCTAATGGCTCTAAATGGGCACACAATATCAATCCATGACATACCAATAAGAACACCCAGCCTCGAGAGATAGCACGCTCCAAAATTGGCCTCAGCTATGGAGCTATCTTTGTCAGCTTCACTGGTGGAACGCCAAGACGAGCACTTGGAGGCATCTAGGCAGCCGCTGAAAAGCGACATCTCGCGGATGCCTGGTGCGGTCACCATCGGTCACCACATGTCACCACCGCCATCGACAACGGCACCTGGTAGGAAGAAAGCTGCGCCAAAGCTGCCCCAACCTCATGGCAAAGATGCAAACGATCTGAGATTCATATGATTCATAGAGATTTGCCCCTCTCCAGTTTGGTTCAGTGCATGTTCTGTCCCTGTTCTACAGTATCCTTCTGATCTTTTCTGACATTCCGGGGCTCATGGCGAGCAGAGATGCCTGGGAAGAGTGTGCGCCAGCACCCCACTCCGCCAGAGAAAGCTCGGCAAACTCCGTAGACACCTCTTGAATAAACTAAGGGCTTTCCCGCAGCAAGAGTCGCAGCAGCATTTTTCAGCTGGATTAACATCTGGGAGTCCGACCATGGGGATACATTGCGAAGAGGTACTTACCCTGGCAGTCAGGCATCGAACGACATCGAAAGTGCTCCAATCCCACACACTGTGCCCACCTTGGGGTCTGGTGCAGGGCCTTCTCTAATGATTGTAGCGTTGTGGTATGAAAGGACATAGTCCACAAGTGGCCCATAAAGGAGCCTTGGAGGACCGAGGACACATCCCGTGAGTCAGGCCTGTCATGATCAAAATTGATCAGCCAAGATCAGCCAAGTTTCCAGTGGAACGGCCAACCTTTCCCCAGGTGAGGTTTGTATGCCTTAAAGCCGTCCAGGATCATTCCGGGTCATTCAGGTATTTAATCCAGTGATTCCTTCCAGAATCCAACTCAACAGCAAGCTTGGTATGACTCAGTATGACTCAGTATGACTGAGTCCCCAGCGAAGAGCTGTATGGTGTAAAGAGCGGAAAAGGACCACAAAGCCCTCCACGAACATGCGCCCAGCGCCCACGGCGACCTTGGCTTGTCCATCTAGGCCATGAGGATCATCAGGTGCGGTTGATACCAGCTGCTGAAAACAAAGCTCCTGGCAGAGCAAGCCAAACGACTGTGCCAACCTCGGCGAAGCAACCCCCAGTGGATCAAATGATTCAGATTCGGATTTCATGACAGGCAAAGATGAGCTAATGACAGGCCAGAAGAAGAAATACGAGGTGAACAAAAGTTCGCACAGCACCTCAGCTGAGAGTGCAGCTTAGGTTTGTGGCGTGGCTCTCGAAATTCTTGTTACTTCAGATGCATTTTCTTCCTTCATGAAGTTTCTACGTGTGCTCCCAACCTGCAGGCAATTGCCAGGAAAAGATGCTTGCCGGGGGCAGCGCACCTGCCAGGTTGCAACTTCCACCCTTCTCAGGGTTTGTGTCACATACCTGTGCAGCTCCAACCTCCACACTCCCAGCTGGGGCTGGTTCTGGCAAAGACGTTGGCGCGGTGGCTACAGGCCACATGGCAAAGTGCAGCACAAACGCGGCGAAGCAGTTTTGAATCCATGACAATCCATGTTGGTCTTCTTCCGAGTTGTGTTTTGCCCCTAGTGCTGTTTGAATCGGATGAGTTGTGTACAATGCAGTGTCAGCTCTCTAACATATGTATTTTTGTCATTATTTCATCCTGCAGATTTCCTAATTACAGAGAGATACAGAGAAGCATGTTGAACTCCTTCGATCTGCATGAGCAAGATACCCATCCAGCAGCGAGTAGCTCTGCAGAACCAGTGAATCACCTTGCATCACCTTGCAAGGAATTATCAAGCTGTGCGAAGAAATGGCCATGGGTAAATTATGATAATTTACATCAAGTTACTGCACCTAAGTGTCACACTTCCCAGCTTTTTGATGCTGCACAAATCGGCAGAAAAGTGAACAGGTCAGGCATACACTGCAAAGACGGATGGCCATGGCACTACTTCTAAACATAAGTGCTGGCCAAACAAAATGCAAACTTCTCAAGACGCACTTGCAAATAGGGCCTAGGGCTTCGCAAGCCGAAGTCAGAAGGCAGTTCAGCAGAAATGCCACAGGTTGGGTTGCTGTACTGTACACTAAGGCGGCTGATGATCAAAATCATACTTGCATGAGAAGACTCCATAGGGCCATAACTTTGACCAGTCTGTGTCAGATTTCGCTCCCACGTGTTCCATGACAGCATTGATTTCATCGGGGATGAGCATGTTCTCATTCAGGCTCGGCGCACGCAGCGCCTGTCCTTTGTAAGGGCCACCCTCAAACATTTTGAGCCCTGCCCGGGCCGCTTCAGTCAAACCATCCCCCGTTCCCAACGTCCGAAACTGCCCCAACTCAAAGGTTGCTAGCAGGTCAGCAGTACGTGCAGCGGATGGTTTCTTCTCTTGGTTTGATAGCTGCAAGACCGCTTGGATTTGGGACAGGGCCTCTGGTTCAGAGCATGAGGTGGTCTGAGATAGGATCTTTGCAAATTCTTTGGTCACAACCGGCTTCTCTGCCACTTCTTTCAATGGACCTTCCAGCTTCGCCATCAGTTTGCGCAGCGAATGGTACTCCTTTTGTACGACCTTCCGCAAGTCGTTGACCTCCTGCAGGGAAGCACTGGCAGTCCTCCACTCAACGAAGGACAAAACATGGGTGGCCTCGTGACCAAAACGATGCACCCCAGTGGTGGCATCACATGGCACCCATCCGATGCCATCAGCGAAAAACTCTGCCTGAGCATGGGGAGCAACAGTGGTACCACAGGCCTCTTGGACAGCTGAACCGTATTTGAAGCCCAATGAGATCCGGGCTGGAATGTCAAAAGCACGCAGTGCAAAGACAAAACCAGCATTGAAGGCTGAACAGTCTCCCCTTCGTTTTTCCCAGATGCTGGTGGTCAAATTTGACAAGTCGGCTTCTGTGGCAGCTGTATCATAGGCATAGCCATTTCGCAATGCTCGTCCTAAACGCATTGCATACGCAATATCACGCTCCCCACTCTTCCTCTCAAGCCCTAGAGGTTGTAGTACAGATCGAATGCTCCGACTGTTGCAGGAGAGGCAACTCACTCTTTCCATCTCGTCCAATTCTGGAACTGGGACTACTTCCGAGGCCTCGAACTTGCCCTCTTTGGACTGCACTCGCACTCGCTGATTCAGGAATTCATGCTCCAGGACCAGGTCAGCAACCTGGTCACCGCGTGCATTGAAGAGCAAAAAGCTGTGGTAGTCTGCTGAAGCATCGAGGATTTTCCCAGCACACCGCAAAGTCGCCTTGTGAGATTTATACCTCGCCTGGCCGTTGCTAGTCCTCAACTTCGGGACCAGCAACAGGTAATTTGCGGCCAGCTGATTTCCCAGCAGCTTCAACCGAATTTTGAAGATATGCCGACCAAGGGGGACAGCAGTAAGCACCAGAGGGGCACTCTGAAGATCCTCAGAGATTTGGGATGGAGCTCGAACCAGCTTTGGCGCATCAGTTGAGGCCCTTGCACGGCTCATCTCTGTCCACAGCTCGTGAGGTACATCTCGTTCTTCAACGGGGCCCACATCAAATCCACCGATCCCATCCAGCAAGGGCTCGGGATCAGAGGATAAACTCAATTCTTTCAGACGAATGCGGAGCAACTCCTGCGACCCGGACTTTCCTAAGTAAACATCCACAGATTTGGAGCCAGCCATATGAAGCCCCAACACTTCGCCCCCTTGGTCCAGAAGTTTTTGAAACATCGGCCGGTGGCTCGACATCCTGGCGACCAGGGAAGCTTCAATGATGCTTTTGTCCTCCGTGCGATTGCCCAGGAACTGCATGGTTTTGAAGGCCATGCGACACAGATTACCATCGGCTCCAGGCGGCAAGGGAAAGGAACTTCCAGTGGAGGTCCGCCACAGGGATGGGGCGGCCGATGGCTCATCGGAAATGTTGGAAACATTTCGCACCAAGGCAAGCCTGGTGATTCTGGTGGCATATGGTGGCATATAGCCTGCTTTAACCCAACCACCTAACGTAATTGCTCCAAATCTCTTACATCGATCCTCATCGTATATCCAAAATCTTTTCTTGCAAAAGCAAACACAAGAAGATTCAAAGGGGCAACAAAGGCAGAAATCAGAATCTGCCAAAACATGCCCAAGTACATACGCACATTCATATATTCGCACACACACACACACATATATATATATATATATGATTATGCACTGGCCGCCTCTCTATTTTGACTCATCTGAAGCCTCAACAAGGTATGGGACATGTCCGGTCCCCGGAGCAACTGAAACAGATGATGAACTGTCGGAAACCTGGAAAAGACAGGTCAGATCTCATCGGAAAAAGCAGTTGCCACATCCAGGGCTGGGTGGGCTTTGGGTGCCCAAATTTCTTCGAGGCATGCAATTGCATGTCAGGACATGCACTGGCCGCCTCTCTATTTTGACTCATCTGAAGCCTCAACAAGGTATGGGACATGTCCGGTCCCCGGAGCAACTGAAACAGATGATGAACTGTCGGAAACCTGGAAAAGACAGGTCAGATCTCATCGGAAAAAGCAGTTGCCACATCCACCTTTAAAAGAGGCCAGCACCCCGAGTGCGAGCTGTACACACATAAAAGGGTCAAGAACCCGGGTGCTCGATGAGCAAAGGAAATAAAAGTGCAGCTGATCTGATTCGGTGCTTAGAAACTTCAGGTAAACGGGTCATGATGGAGTCAGCTGCCATTTCCTGCAAGTAGTGCTCAAGAGTGGTCTGGCTCTGAACTCTCATCCGCCACATGATGTCCTGAATGTGCTCACCCTTCTGGTAAGCCACAATGGCTCCACCGCCTCTGATAGAAGCCGGGGTAGGTCGCAAATCTTTCGGCATCGCCAAATCATCCAGAATCTGTTCCCAGCGCGTTCGAAAGGCAGCAGCTGAAAGAGGAAACAAGGAAAGGGCAGGATCCAAACCAGCAAAAGTGCGTTCAAGAAACGCAATCGCATGTCGATCGTTCAGCTTCAGGTGTTGAACACGCCCTTTTCCCCTTCTCTTAGTCTTAGGGTTTAAAACCTTAAGAAACGCAGAACTAAAAAGGGTACTAAACTGATCAGAGGGCAAAATCAACTCAGCTCGAGTGGCTCGAAGCACCTCTGAAATCCTTGCAATCCCCTCAAAACCAAGCATTAACGTTCCAGTCCAACGTAGCCACCGCTTGCAAAGCGCTGTCACCACCATAGCCTGATAGAGAACATAATGCAAAGGGCGGCGATGTTGCACTGGTTGAAGAACTTGCCATTTCGTCAAAAGCTGCCAAGCAGGACCTAAGTGAGGCTTCAACCAAGAGTGAGTCTGCTGCGCGATCACCAGTAAATGCCGGTATTCGTAGAGCGCATGTCCCGTTGAATACAGATGCAATCCATAAGTCTTCAGTATGGCCGCAAGCAGGGCCGGGCACCAAAGCATCTGCTCAACTGTATCAGCGCTGAACTGACTCTGCAGCCACTGTTGGAAGGCTACCCACACCCGCTGTTGAAGAGCTTGGGTAACAGGTTCAACCAGTTGTACTTCTTCCAGCAGTCTTGAATCTCGAGGAATCCTTCGGGACTGCTGAGGTCCTGGATTCTTTGCCTCGCCAATCCGACCTTCAGAGCACTTCGCACAGCCTCCAATCGCAAGCTTCTGTTTCCGGGTTGTCAATCCAGCAGAGAGTGCTAGTGCTGCAGCGAGATCATGAGCTAGACCTTGAGGGTAGACCTGAGCAAGTCGGGTCCATGACATCTTGAAGGCCTTGTTCCTCCCTCGCAGTCTTGTATGTGAGTGACCACCCAGACACAGCTGACGTTGACCAGCTAAGCTAGTGTTCGTGGCAATGCGTGTTCTTTTCCTCCAGGGCGTCTTGTAGCGGCACAGGTCGACTCGAAAAGAAGTCTCAGGCCGCCCAATCCCAGCTGAACTCCAACCAGGCAACAACCACAGAAATGATCCGTCTGGGTTCTCGACCCAGTAGGGGATATCCATAGCAATGCACAGTTGTATGATCTGCAAAAGGAAGGCAGCATGTTGGTTTCCCACCTGAACCTTAAGTTTCATCCGCTCAGAAATATCGCTGAGACCCCAAGGTTCCAAGGCAGTTCGGACAGCAGGATACACGGCACGGCTGAAACTGCAACATTCAGGTGCAGCCCCAACCCCCACAAAACAACGCTGTGCAACCAGGTCTTTCAGAAGTTTTTGCAGAGCAGGATCTAAAAGGTTTTGATCTGAGCCATGTTCAAAATCAACCGTGAGAACCCATGTCTTGTATTTGCGCGCAAGTTTTCTGGCCACAGCCGCCTTCCCAGAATACAAATCTAAAATTCCAGCTCGGTTGGGACAAAAAGATTCACCCGCTTTCAAGCGGCGGCCTCCAGGAAGAAGAAAACATGACGCAGGCACCTCTCCTAACAGCTTTTTGCAGCTGTCGCTCAAAAGGGGACAGCGAGGGTTGTCCATGGCTATGCAGCACGGAGACTTCCTCTGAGAAGTTCCTACGGGGGGCTCAAAAGGCGAGCCGGTGCTAGTTTTACCTTTTCTGGGCTGGGACCTGCCCTTTGAAGCAACAGAATGATTGTGCCCCCGGTTCGTTTTCCCTGGGAGTCTTGTGCCATCTCTCTTGGTTAGGCTCTCAGGCTCTTGTTGTCCCTTCTCGTCTTCCGCTCCTAAACAAACCGAATCACTATCAGCTCCCACTTGTGGGGAGGGAGAGACTTCATCAGCTACTGTGATTGTGGCAGCAACAGTTTTACAGGGCCCCTCGTTAAAAATTTCTTGTGGCCTCTTCTCTTCTTCTTCTTGTTGTTGTTCATGCTCCAGTGAAACACCCCGCGCTTCGCGCGCAGACCGACTGTACACCTTTTCATCAAAAACTGCCAGCCTAGATGGCTTCTGTACTTCCCGAAGTTCTCGCAAAAGAGAGTGCTGCAAAACGTCCTTTGATTCGGGATGCTGGCACTGAAAAGGAAGCTGAGCTACACTAATAGGGTCATATCCTCTTTCCCCCAACCATCTGTCTAACTCACTGAAGTCACCATTGAAGGCCTTATCTAACCACGCTGGAACCGCACAAGAAGGAGCACGGACATCCGTCCATCGAGTTGGATCATCTCCTACGTTTGCCAAGGACGGAACATATCCATAGCTCCCGTAGATTCCGGCCCCCAGCGTTGTCGCCAAGCTATGCTGCAGCAAGGAGTTCAAGCGCGGAGAGCTCGATCGTCCTTTCAAGATCGCAGCAAGAGCTATCTGGCTGTCTGATCCTAAAATGTATCGAACATCCTGATGCTGGTGTGATAGTTTTGCCTCCAACTCTAAGATGCTTTCTAACTCCAGCAAATTGATGTGCTTTCGTCCTCGAACCATCTTCCGCTGAAAAACCTGAAATTGCAAAACTTTCGCAAGAATCACCCAAAGCGGGTGACTGACCAAAGGCACCCCGTCAGGAAGAGCATCTTCTTCTTCCAATTGGAAGTGCTGCTGGAGCCACACCTTCCAAGGCGACAATAGGCGAGTCCAAGTCCCTCGAACCAGTGAGTGCCTATGCAATTCCCTCGCAAATGCCAGGGGCACCTTACTGCTGACAGACGCTTTGACCTCCTCCGAGGCATCTGTCAAAAAGAAGGTGTCCTCAGTTTGAGCACGAAGGTCAGTGACAGCCAGGGGGCCCAAACATACCAGAAGCCAGAGCTCATCTTGCAAGCTTCGTGAAAGGCGGACTACATCTGTCTGCAAACGTCCGTGCTGAGCTACATAGATTTCATCAAGCAAACACAACATACGTCTCCTGAATTGTAAGACACTGACCCAAGCACCAGCCAAAGTTTGCAAAAGGGCTACCGTAGCAAAACCTAAAGTCAAAGTGCTGATCGTGATATCAATCAGGGGCACCAATCTTCTCGGAGCCGCACGAACCAAGCCAGATGTTCCGCAAACTGAAGCGCCCCAGAATTCGGCCTGAGATTCAGCTTCAAAAGTCTTACTAGGGTGAGGAACTAGATCTCGTTGCAAATACTCTTCTTTCATTGCTCGAAGCCGTCTTGCTCCATCAGTTTCTTTCAAACCGTCCCCATGAACTGAGATAGGAACCTGCTCCAAGAAGAGAGCATCATCTATGATGATTCCCGCAGAAATCATGGAGCGAGGCGCCCGGCCATGTATGCAAAGCAATTCTTGTGGTGAAAAAATGCCAGCATTCAGTCCTATCTTCACATGACATTTCTGTCCCATTTCAACAGCTTGACAATCCCCCATAGCCATAGTCGAAAGACAAGGATAAAGAGTTTTGTGTCCATGAAGTTGTTCTGAATAACACTGAAACTGTTGCGCTTCCCCCGGCTTGAGTGGAAAGTTGAGAGTGTTGCGTTCTGCTCTAGCTCGTGTGACTTTGAAACAGTAGTAGTAATCCTTGAGGTCTGTTCCGCTCATAATCAGGTTGTGGTGCGGTAAAAGTTCAATCTGCAACACCGCACTGATCGCACCCAAGGTCTTCGACCAATCTCGCAAGGTCTCTTCCAACAGATTTGGAGGTCTAGCATCAAGGATCAAACGGTCTTTTGCTTCATCTTTCACCAAGCAGAACGCTCCACACAAGAAGTTCTTGCGGACTTTTTCCTCGGGGACAAGGCGCAAACGGTGATGGCGATCCAAGAATTGCAACAGCTCCAATGCCTGATCTCTTGAAGCATGGATGCGAACTCTAGGAGGCTCCCATTTTGACAAATCAGGTGAAGCAGCATGAGCAACAGGATCTTTGTAAACAGATTTGTGGGGCTCTTCAAAAAGTTCAGTGGGGTCAAAACCTGGAGCATCTTTTGGAAAAGACAATCGCGAAGGCTCCACACACTTCGCCAATTGAGGTACACCTTGAGGCAAGGATCCTACCACCTCGCCGGGATCGCCACATTGATGGCCCGCATTGGACCTCCGAGGGGGAACACCTTGTGCTGTGCGTTGGTGTTCATAGCTGCCCACAACATCTTGAGTAGCTTTCTGAAGCCGCTCTAACAAAAAAGCCAAGCTCTCAACCTTTGCAGCCGATCGGCCAATGTTCGTAGGCCCAAAGTCCCCAGCTTGCGCCAGATCTGTGATCAAACGCTCGAATCTCTTGGTCACGCCCCACTGCTTTGCAGAAAGCTTGTTCCCCAGCATCATGCAGGAGGGAGCCACAGCCGGTCGGCCCAGGTGCATCCAAGATAGGCTGAGGACTATCATGTTGATGGCCTTCTCAATGCACATCCTCTTATAGTTCACCCGCTCCTCTGCATTTTTCCGCAGCCACCTAGGGTAGGGAGCAGGAATAGGCCACAAAGGAAGAGCTGTACCTTCGTCTGCCGAAGGTCTGCTTCTTAGAGTCTTCAAAAACTGTGCAAAACCAGCTTGTCCAGAAAAAATCAAACGTGCCAGTGAATTCCAAATCTTGAGCATATTTGACGTCGGAGCCTGCGACCCCGGAACATATAGAGCTGCCTCTGCATCCTCAGTCGGGAACACCTCTTCAAAGGGGTGGCAACTCTCATCCAACTGAGGTTCATAGTTTGTTTTCATTGAGGCGCTGCCGGACCCGCATCCTCCGAGTCCTTCGCCTTCTTTCCACTTTTCCCTTTCCCTTTCGGCTTGTCGCCGGCTTTTGGAGGTGGGTCCTCTTTCTTTGTCTTCCCCGCTGCTGTGAGTTTTCCTTTCTTTTCCTGGTACTCCGCAAGCTCCTTGAGTTTTGCCATGAACAGCTCGCACCACCTGTCGTCGATGAGACGAGTGTGCTGCACTTCCCATTGCTCCGGTGCAGTGTGGCTGTTGAAGCTGGCATACGGAGGAGGTGGTTCCAAGGTCAGCTCGTTGGCTAGAAGCCATGCACCTCGATCGCAGCTCTGTTGATCGAAGCAGGCAGTGGCTATGGCCGCTCTTGCCCGAGCCTCTTCGTGGCGCCCTTGCATCAGCGCATCCCAAATCCCAGCGCAAAGCCAAGCAGGACGTATCGTCCCGGGATAGGAGGATATGCGAGAACGGTGCTCTAACCATCCTCTGGCCGAGATCCTCGTAATTTGAGCACCCGGCAGGTTGGATCCTCCTGTCTCCCAATCCCCCTGAAGGTTCTTTTCCAGGGCCTGGTAAATGAGCTTTGGGTCTGTCACCAGAAGCTTTTGGAGAGACCGCAATGCCGAAGCTTTTGACCGAGAAGACCCGGTAGTGTCGCGGGCTGATCCAGATTCGGCCCGATCGAGAATCGCCTCGAGGCCTTTGTCCTTTTTCTGCTTCTTCTCGGCTCTCATTTCCTGCACAATGCTGCTCAAATGTACAATGGCTTGCCCTAGAGGATCTTGAACACCAGAAGCGACGCCCAAGTGCTCGTCTTTCTCGTCCTCGTCGCTGGACATCCCAGCAGGAGCCACATCTTGAGGTTTCACTCCAGCAGCCTTCGCAGCCTGAGCTTGCATCACGCCTCCAATCTATCTCAGCGCTTCCATGGACACTCCTGCAGAGAGAGCCTGTTGAACCACTTGCGGATCGAGGCCAGGCGGAGGAGGAATGGTTGCAGGCGGACTCTGGGAAATCCTGGCTCTCAAGGCTGGCTGCCTGATCGGCAAAGGAGCAGCTTCTGAAGCAGACGCCATCGGCGCTCGCATGTCTTTCAGAGAAGACAGAATCTCTGCCATGCTGCTCTCCAAGCGACCCAAGCGGTTCTCCACATTGAGTTCGGGCTGAGGGACCGCACTCTCGGCGGAAACAAAAGCAAAATGATCTTGAGCTACTGCGCAAAGGGCTTTGGCAAATGGAAAAGCTGGCATCCCCAGTGCATCGACCGGGAAACCAATTTCGCCAGCTTCCAGTTCGGGCCCTCCAAACACGACAGCATCCACCAACTCTGGTTTGAGAAAGCCCAGCCATATCTTCTGAGCAGTCGAAGTAGGAGTGGCTCTGTCCAAGTCTGAAGCGGAAACCACCTCAACACGAGTAGCCCTCAACAAAGCGTCTTCAGGCAGCTCTCTCTTCGTCTTCAAGCGATGCCAAGCTAAGTCTGGCACAGCAATCAGAGCTTGTCGGTCAATTTCACAAACCCCAATAACTTGGACTCTAGAGCTAAGGGAAGAGGACAAAAGGGTACCCACACTATAATCAAAATTGATGACGTCAAAATCTGCCGTAACAAAATTGTCGAAGAGCCCAGTGGCTTCAGGCACTGGCTCCTCAGGCACGTCACTGAGCTCCTCAAGATCCATGGCGCTCATCCCTCAAAGCAGGCGACACAATCAAGCCTGCTTCGGAGAGAGCAATGCGCGCTTCGGTCTTGGTGGGCAGCCCAATGTAGATGGAGTCCCCTGAATCTTTGCCAATGATGACAACTTCGGCACACCGCCTCCAGCTGTCAAAAACCAGAGGAGGATCGTGAACTTGTCCTTGAATATCCCTAACAACCAGGTAGATGCGAGACTGCAAATTGATTCGCTCACGGCCTGACAGTCCTCGTAGTTCGCCCCTCAAACAACGGCGAATCCACTTGCCAATGCCCCGAGCGACAGCCTCTCGCTCTGATCCCACCTGATATCCAGCCGCAGTTGAACCAGACTGGGTCGCTGCAGTCTCCACCTCAGAACCTGCAGATGCGACTTCAGGAGCAACAGCCAATCCCCCCTGCGTCCTGCTCTCCACAAGGGTGAGCCTTTCCTGAGTAGCAGCGAGCTGCCGTTTCAATTGGAGTACCTCAGTTTCCAGTCGCCTGACCAAAGAGGTGAGGGTTTGCACCTGATCAGCCAAAGCCCCCTCAGAGACCCCCATGCAAACCTGTAGAGTTCAGTGCTCCTAGCAGCCAACTCGCGAAGGCGAGAACGTACCCACCACCGCCAAGCAGCTCGGAGGAGAACCAAAAGATCAAGCGCTGGGCCAAGTAGCAATCCAATGAGGACGCCCACCACCACGCTTTGCAAGTCCAGAGATCCTAAGTTCAGGCCAGACAAGGAAGGGCACTCGCAATCGCACAAGGGACACTCCACTGGCACAGGGAGCACAGGGGAATGCAGTGATTCGGCCAAAAAGCGCCAAGCTATGGCTGACAGTGATCCACCGGCGGCACCGAGCGTCAGGGGGCGTTCAACCATCCGCTTGTGCCCAAATTTCTTCGAGCCATGCAATTGCATGTCCATATGTGTGTGTGTGTATTTATCTAGTTATTATTTATTCATATACATGGCACCGCAAAAATGTAAATCAATCTAACGAAGTTGATGCTTTTTGCCGAGCTGCTTGAGTTCAGAGACGGATTCATCAAAGTTGCTGGGTTTTCGAGCCAGTTGCCTCGGTACCTCTCGCAGAATCTGGGTCAAAGTCACTCTGGCAGCTGCCGCCCAAGAGGCGACGTACGACATGAAGTCCTCTGAGCGAACTGGAACTCCAGGCTGTTTAACAGAACCTGGTAGCTCACCACAAACACCTGACAACAACTGCTTGGCAGCAGCAAACTCTTTCTGGTTGAGACTGCCATCCCCATCATGGTCCAATTCCAAGAAGAGCCGCATCAGATTATCTCTGACACCTTTCTCCAGGGATACCAGGGATACCGCTCTTGCTTCATTTGCTTCGTTTGAAGTTGAACTTCCTTGGGCTTCCTTTGATGGCTCCTGAGAAGAGGCACCACTTAGAATGTTCAAGCATGATCAAACTGGTCAGGAGATATCTATGCCGTTTACCTCCAGACACAAAGTTGATATAATAGCCGACTCCAAACATTCACTGCAATTCAAAAAAAAGGAAAATAAGGGAAACATATGGAAAGATGACAAAATGCTGCCAGCATCATCTCTCTGAGTGCTGCGCGCTTCTGCGGGCCCTGCCGTGCAAACAAACTTCGACCACACAGTTTTCTCATGGAATTTGCCGGCCTTTCAGCCCCAAGATGTTTCTGCCCGTCGAAGCCAGGGAGGTTCCACCTGTCACTTGAAGATGAACATCTGACATATCTGACGGTTGCAAGACGATTTGTCATCAGAAAGCCTCTTGAAGATGGACGCATGGCAACTCCAAACCAGAACCAAGGCAAAAAGTAGGAAAGGGCTATGTTTGACGGTAAAGTCCTCCTTGGCTGACTGTGAACCACAGGATGTATCCCAACCAACATGTCTCAACATGTCTCAACGTGACGCAACGTGTGAATTGGATGTGCGGTGGCAACTCTTGTCTTCTTCTGCCATCACTGCGAGCCCAAAACACATTGATGACCCCATTGCAGACATGTTGTGCTACTAGGGGATGCTGGTCGTGTAACGAAACAACTGCATTAGATGCTGCTCACGGCAAGCCAAATTGAATCCATATTGGTTGTGATCCTTTTTTCCAGTCAGTATGCAGGAATCGTGCATGAATCTCTCAGCACTGCTCCCTCAATAACAGGGTCCGTTTCCGCGTTCCCCCTCCTGCATGTTAATTTATGCTGAATCACTTGACAAGGGGTTGGGCTGCGAATTGGGTGCAAGGTTGAATTAAGATCTCTAAGATCTCTACTATTGCCTTGGGTCTTGATCAAAGGTCAGGCTCCACAGGGAATATCTGATGTCATTGCTTGGTTGGCTCACCTGGTAGTTGGATATCGCACCGGGTAGTTGGGCGCATGATTCCTGGTGCCACAGCCGCTGTTTCTTCGCATCCAAGCCACCAAGCCCTCACGTTCCATAACCGGAGCCAGGTGCGGGGCAGGGGAGGCCGGGTAGATGGGCGAGACCTGCCATCCCGGGGACCACATGGAGCCGCGGCTCCAGACTTGCGGGCTTTGGTAGGGCCGACCTGCAGGTCGCGGGGGTACACCACTGCCATCGCAGAAATCAGGAGGCGCCATCCCCACGGATCCCATGGATCCCATGGATTGCATGGGACTGGAAGCGGTGGCATAGTACTTGGAACGTCTCAGGGCTGTGGCCTGTGCCATCGCACGTGCCTGAGCCTCCTCGTTGGCATATGCGACAGCAGCAGTGTAGCTACTCACTCCAAACTGGATGGCAGCGGAGCCTGCGATCTTGATCCCTCCAAAAATGGGGCGGGCAATTGCCACCAGAACCTTGGAGGCTGCGAAGCCTGCTCCAACCATGGCCTTGCCTGCAACAGAGGCCACATTCACCACGTCATCAACATTGTATGAAAGGAAAGGGCCTGAGAACTTGGAGGATATGCCATTTCCGAGGCTCTTCTCACGCTCAAGAAGGGCTTTGCTCTTTTCTTCCAAAGTCTGCTGCCAACGCTCAAGGTCCTTTCTCTTTTCAATGAGCCGCTGGGAATATTCCAACCTGCCCTGTGGGTCTGACAAGTCTGGCTTTGATGGAGTTGGGATGCCCTGGATGCCCTGGATGGGAAGACTTTCCTGACTGGGGTAGCTAGGTGCAGAACTGGGACCATCCTTGTCACGCCCAACACTTCCAACGGCGCCAATGGTGCCAGATGCTGGGGCTGTGGGGGCTCCCATTCCACTTTCCACTGGCTTGGCGCTCTCCATCCACAGCTGCCGTTCGCGTTGCTTCAACTCCTCCTCCCTAGCCAACACAGCACGTTCCCGCCGCTCAACCTCTGCCAGCCGTTGTGCCAACTCACTGCTGTCCCAGGAGCGGCCAGCTTCAGTGCCGAAAAGGTCCCACAGGTTTCCAGCATCTTTGCTTTTCTCTGGATCTCTTGGGTCATCCTTTCTTCCAGACTTCTCCCTTCCATTCAAATCACCCAAAACAGTTGGCTTCGTGCTGCCCTCATCACGAGCTTGTCCAAACCTGGAGCAAACAACAATCGCAGGGAACCACTTCCCCAAAACACAGGAACCACCCGGACTGCCCGTTTTGTGCCATTCTGCTTGGAGTCCAGCCTATGGAAATGACAATGTACCGTCCAAGTATGCTATTAACATCTATTAACTGCGTGTTTTCTGCTCATCAGAGGAAGAAGAGAGGAAGGATTATTGTAATTACGTCATTGGACGATTTGGTGACCTTATGATTGCCAGGAAACTGTGGGGAGTCGCGCTTTTGAGTTGTCTCTTTCACATCAGCCCAACGTGGCGTGCGAGGCGTGTGTGGTGTGTGAGGTGCGTCACGAGGTTCTGCTTCAACGCAGCTAGTGCACAGGAACCAGCGCTGTTTGGTGCCTTCCTTTTCACAATAATCACAGGGTGAGAGCAGATGATACCCCAGCCGGGCCCCACAGCCACAAGCGAAATCATGGACTTTGCAGTCGCACATGCCTGGCATTTTCGGTACCTCATCTTGCAGTGAAATGTTCTGAGGCCGCTCATCCGTTGAAAAACAGATGCTGGATGGTTTGGCCAACATTTGCATCATCACCCCCTTTTCGCTCAGAAAGTAGTGGCAAGTACTGCAGAACAGGTTGAAGAAGGCTTCAGGCTCACCTTACTCTCGAACGCGGCACTCATTTCCGGCGAACCCAGCGAATAAATCGAAAGAAACCCTCAGCCAACCGGCATCCCAACCAACATAATATGTTGCAAAAATAATAAACCAAGCAAAACAATTTGGAAAACATGGCTCATCCTGGAGCATCCTGCAACATCCATTAATCAACATGAGTTTATCAAAAAAATGGTTGCCCCTCCAAACTCACTATGGCTAATCATCATATTCCCTCCAAGACATATTTACAACTTGCCATGAGCTGGGGGTAAATCGGCAATTTCTTGGCATATGTCCATCAATCTGGTCCAAATCAATATCCATGACTGTCACTACAGAGCATCTGGAAACCATACCCATCATCTTGGGGCATTCCCCATCCCAAATCATGTTAAAACCACCCATCAACTCTCATTTCCCCATGTTCATTAAATACCCTAGCGCGACACAACAAGTTGGGATTTTACAGAATTCCCCAAATTTATTGAGACATATTGAGACCCATCCAAAGTCATCCACTCAGCATGGGGCGGTTTCCTAAAATGGCGGTCCAAATCATCCAGTCAGTAGACCATGGCTTAGTATTCAAAACCCATGGTTTTACCAGGGGATTCCACATGACTTCACCCCACATATCTCGGCACGAGTGGCCCACGTTCTCCGTCTCCGGTGTCGGCACCCAGTTCCGCGCGCGCCAGGCGCGGTGCTCCCGGTGCTGATCTGCGTCCGCCGGACAGGCGCCGCTGGCGGCCGGGGACAGGCGCCAGGCTCGGCTGGCGCGGCGGTCCTTGTCGAGCTGAGCCATCCTGGCATAGCATGGAGATGGATGGAGATGGGGGCAACAGAAAGGTCACAAAAATGGGCCAAAATGCTGTTCATGGAGATTTGATGATGTTTCTGGTTTTCACAGGAAAATAAGTGGTACATGTAGGACACATGGATGTTCATCTAGGAAAAAAAAAAGTATTACCAATAGACATAGACATTGAACTATTTGAATCCATTTGAATGTATTGCAGCAATCTGCTGCACATCATCATCATCATCATCATCATCACCACCCAAACCAACAATTGGCGGATCATCCGCGACAACATCCAACACCCATGTAAGGGGGAGCCTTAGAGGTCCTGGAAAACTTCTGAAATGTATTGGATCAAGAATACAGTATATACTGTAACATACTGTAACTATAATACACACGTAATCGTAAACAATGGCCAGCCTGAAGCGTGCAGTCACGCCAGGCACTTGAGAGACGCAGCTGCAGTGGCTGTACAAACATGTCCAAGAGCATCATGGTCATTGGATGTCGTTGGCTCAGCAAATTCAGATTCCCTTTCCATATCTGTCCATCGATGTCAAGGCTTTGTGTTGAATGATCTGCTGGCTGCCGACCTTTTTTTGGCGACTTCTCTGATGCCCCGCTTGGCAGGGCTCGAGAAGATGGGTCTCCCCAGCTAACAGCAAGGGAACCCGATATCCCCGCTTACAGAATTCGGTATTGCCTCGAGTGAGACACAAAGGCTTTGCAGTGTTACAAGCTGTTCCTTTCCTTTCGGAAAGGTACATAAACAGCGCTGCAAGGCCTCTCTGTACATCCAAAATCTGCTGGCACTTAGATTTGGATGAAGATCAAGAGGAACAGCTAGGAAGAACCTCTAGACTCTAGATTCTCTAGATATCAAAAGCCTGGAGTCATGAGTCATCAGCATTCCGCCACATTCCGCCACATTGACTGCATCAAAATATTGGAAGTGCCAGATGCAACTGCATCGCCAGTTCTAATTAGCCGCCTGGGGCAGGGGGTTCGTCTACTTCACCAGGCAAAGAAAATCCTTGACCCTCCCTCAACATCACCAGCCTCGGAAATCATAAGACATCGCAACTCCCATGATCTCCCATGATTGCGTGCGTGTCTTTGTGGTTGACGCACTGCGGTTCACAAGCCTCCGCCTCTCAAGACTGACTTAGGACTGGATAGTAGGACAAAAACCAAGAAGATCAAGAAGGAGGAGTTCTGGCCTCTTTCGTGCCTTTTTCGCTACACATCCATGGGGAAATTTTCAACCTTGCAATTCTAAACTATTGCTGAACGCTGAACTCCTTAGACCTCCACTGTTCGCGGAAGTTCTCCTCTGGCAGATCCATGATGGGCGTCAACCTTGGATGGGCACGCGGGGCAATCCCTGCCATGCGATGAGCTACCCATGCGGTCCATGGCATAGCCGAGTCCCATGCAGTGGTTGAACCGTCTTGGCCACCTCGGCTGAGTGCTCTCGAAAGCAATTACCTAGGACCCTGGACACTGCTCCCATGCGCCTGGGCTTGGAAGCTATCCAATTTCCTCTCGGTGCTGCTGGTGGCAGGAATTCCACTGCCAGGTACCTCAACCATTGCTGAACTTGTGGATCTGGGGATTTTATGAAATCTGCTCAGGCCTGTCCATCATGACAGGGCAGCTTGAGGCATGGACGCATCGGGCGGTGAGGATGACAAATTGCCGCAACTGTCACGGATAAGCAGACTAAGCGGCTGATTTCGCAAGGCAAAGACGCACACACCGTATATACTAAAGCTAGGAAAGATGGGACAAATCCATACAAATCCGTTCGTTCAAGTGATTCAAGATGATTCAAGGTGAGCACATTAAGAATGAAAAGCTGCGTAAATCTTCCTGCAAAAGCTGCCAGATGCTGCCAGCATACTCCCTATGATTCCCTATGCGCAAGCTGTGGCAATTGGCGCTTCCCAGTCCTCAAAGAGCGCACGCGAGAGCTCCAGCTGCGCCTGAGTTGTCTCTTTCTTCAGAGCCTGGCCAGACAAGGCTCGGCGGCTCGGCTCTGTCGAGAACCCCGTCCCCTTGGGAGTCCCACCTCACAAATGCTCTTGTGCGTATCCAGGTAGGTTCTTGCCTCACAAGACGAAACAGAACAAGCTGACATGCTGCCGGAGTTGGCTTGGAGAGAACCGCTAAATATAAAGGATGGAAACATATGGAAACATTAATACAAAACAATCCAAAACACATAAACATAATAAACTGCTCTGTGTGAATGATTGTGAAAGTGAACCCTAGAATCCACAATCCTCTGTAGATCATCCACGAGATCCTACAGTCCATGGCTCCCGCCAAAAAAAAAAAAACATGTGGCCTGATGCAGTCGTGCATCGAGCTTTTTCAGGTTCATGGCCACTGTGTAGCTGTGCTTTGCCTTGCATTCGCCTCGCCCCATACCGAAAGAATACCCAAAAGAATTGCCAGAGCTTCGGAAGCTCAGAAGGGCCAAAATTACACAGTTGTGCAGCGAGGCAGCTGGCGGCCTTTGAGATTTCGGATCTGCGAAGCAAACTCCTCTCTGTCAACTTGATCTGGGAAATCGATGTACCTTGGGCCACAACTCATCTCCCACCCAGGTTGCTTGGTAATTTGCTGAAGGTTGCCCCGTGGCTTCAGATCGAAGAAATGACTCAGATCATTGTGGCTTCAAATCATCATAGCTCAAAACCTGTTGCTTTGCACAAGGAATATAAGGAATGCCCCTCAAAAACCAAGCTTACACCTTCCATGAGAGAATAGAACTCACATACAATGCCTACATTTTGCAGCTTAGTGACGTCCAAAGATCTCGAATTTCATCTTCCTCCAGGTTGACGAGTTTCAGCTTTGTCCACCTCGATCAGCTGACGCTGCTGCCCGCGTTTGAAAGCCATTGAATGTCCAAGTGGGATTCAACTTGTTCCGATTTTGCGGTTGACTGGCAGCAACTCTTCAATCCAGTTCAAGTCCAGTTCAAGAGCCAAAAGACAGGATCTCATTCTGCTTCTCGACGGCATCATCATAGTCCTTGGACATCCCAAATCATCCCCAACTCACTTCAAAAGAGACCCGAGTTCTTCCCAAGTTCATCCCATTTCATCCCAAGTTCCCAGTCCTCTCTAGTGAGGTACACGCTGTCTTCACTTGGAAGCAGTGCGTCAAAAAGTTGCCTGACATCAGCCGCAGCCAATCGCCATAACTGCCACAGCTGCCATAGCTGCCAAAGCACAGCTGTGCCGCACCTGAGGTCGTTCAACTCCGACTCCGTGGTTTCTCTGGCGATGGACGCTTGCAGCTCTTCGTCCTACGGCTTCGGAGGATTTCGGGTCTGCGAAAGCACGGGAAGTTGAGCCACTTAGTGAGACTTATTGATTCACACAACTTGGAATGATTTGAACACGGAGAGCGAAGTCACAAGTTGCATCAAGTTGCCACTCTAGGTAGTTAAAATATTGACGCATACGTTAACTGTGATCACCGTGATCCTCCGAGTTTAAAAAACATTTAAAACCATCTGCCATCAAAAGAATGTTTGCACCACTGGAGTCTTATATAACCATTTCAATGTTAGTTACTCTTAGTTCAATCCAGTTCAATCCAGTTCAGAGCGCCAAGGACTTGGCCTGCTCTGCCCGGGCGAAGGCGTTGTTGACAATGACGGCAATCACCAGGTTGTTCAAGACCTTGCTTGACATGAGCAAAACGAATCGAAGTGATAGAGAGGGCGAAGCTACGATGATAGTCAGTTGATATGAAAATAAATGCAAGCTAATGCAAGTAACCATTAACTAAAATGTAATTACATGTAATTTATATTGATTGATTGTAATTTAGATTAATTTAGTATGTTACTCAAATCGGATCAAGTAAAGGTTGTTGGCGCTTGTGCGAACCTCAAGCCTTCCACCGGCACATCCGCTAAGCCATGCCATGTCCTATCTCAGGGACTGGGCCCGTGACCAGCGAGCCCACTGCGACGAACAGCAGCCACAGCACTCCGACCATCGGCCTTACCAAAGATGTGCACTGTCGACAACCTGATCAATCATGATAAATGCAGTGCAGCTGCTAGGATATGCCATTATCAGCCACTATTATCCGTTATTATCCATTATTATCCACCATTATCCATTATCATGTCATTATCATGTCATTATCCATGGATTTATCGATGGCATGTTCAGCAAATCCTGGCCGGACTTCGGCGTCAGCGTCAGCCTACCCTCCTGGATCGCCATGAGGCGCGGACTGATTCACTTGCAGAATTCGGCTGAAGCCAGTCCAGCTATCCAACGTAAAGCACTGGCACGGCCGGCAGCTACTGATCCAACGTGTATATCTTGTGTATACTGTCTGTGACACTTCAGTCACTAGAGTATGTTGAGCTACTGACCACTAAATCAATAATTCGACAAAATTCTCATGGACTGCTTTTTGTTCAATGACAGATTCATTGACTGGGATGCTGAAACAGTATGAAGTTGACCATTGAAACGAAAGCTATATGAATTTGGAAATGACCGGCCGCCTGGAAGAGAGTGAACATTGTATCAGGGACCGTCTTCATGTACAACTCCACTTGCTGAGTTCGCAGGGCGCAAGTGAACATGAATAAAACGCAGGAAGCGGCTCCTAGTGTTGCGCTATGACTCAAGCTCGTCATCCTACTAATGACTCAATCAACGCCATTGACCCTGAGATCCACACACGGATATATATATATATACACATATATGTATAATATAAGATCCCTAAGATCCCTACTGCAGGATAGTGCAGGATATATACACACAAGCATCACGAGGATATCTGAGGTGACGGCCTCTTTTTGGTCATCATCCAAATCCAGGCCACCGTGGACCAACAGCTGGACGAAAAAGATGGAAAACCTCAGTCGCCAGGCTCTTAACGATGTCACTGAAGGATGGCCGATTTTGGTCAAAGCCCGGGACATGTATAAGACGACCGTGATGATGGTCAGCGTCCAAAGCAGAATTCGACCACTATCCACAATGCCACTGACCTCAGCACATGTCACAGAAATTGGGGAGAATGGCATAAGAAGTCGCTATGCTCACTAGATCAGGTTCACTAAGCTACTTCGGCACGTTGATATCACAAAAAAATGCAAAGGCCCACGGCCACGGTAGCACATCTTCGGGATAAAAGGTAGCACATCTTCGGGATAAAAGGAGATGGCTGCACAACCAAGAGATGTGGTCGCGATGCCCATTGACTTAACCCATCGACTTGTGATTTTTGAGAGTGGGACCAGCGACCACAAGATTCGGAATGCACTGATTGTTCTAACCTAGGCCAACCAGCAACGCAGCAACGAGCACTGACTCCACATCCACCATTGGACCATTGGATCAGCGATCCCAAAAACAAAACTCCCAAGGCTGCTGCCGATTTCAGGATTCGGATCAAACGGACACACCGCAGCGCCTGACCAATTCGGAGCTCTCCACCTTGGAAGCAGTTCTGATACCTCGACGTAAGGAGGTCTTCATTTGTTTGATATCGCAAGTTAAGCCGTCATGGGTGACGCTACAAAATACAAGCTTGAAATATGATCATAGACAACTATGATCGAGAATAATGATGATGAATGACACGCAAAACGAAACTACAAGGCTTCAGTTTAAGTTCCCTGCTGTCGATGCCGAAAAACGGTTTCAAGATGTAGCTTGGTACTATGCCTGGCATCCCAGCAACCCTTCCTGATTCCTCCACACCTTGAAATGTATTGGGCACGTTCAAACCATTCTGTCCAGGCCTGTGACGAGGATGAGTATCTCAGGAGCCAAAAAGGCTGGGAAAATGAAAAGGGCAAGCAGCTCGCAAACGAGCCTCATTTTCTGGGCCCCCCTACACAATCAATCGTGTTGCCAGTGGCAAAGAACCTTGGTTTCCCAGCATAACTCAAACCTTATCGCAGGTTGTGGCAGGTTGTGGGTCAAATTTTCCCTGGGGACATGGCCAAATCCATCCATCTGCCATGACTCGCAGAATGATCTCCAGAATGAAGACAACCTTGCGAGATCTGCCGCCAGTCGATGAGTCACATAGCATTGAGGAAGCTTGAGAGATCAACACTGCACGCGCATGTTTTACCCATTGCTGAGATTGGCTGCTTTCGCAGTCCAGGAGGTTTCCCCTTGCAACTCTGAGTTGCAAAAAGCCTCGGTCTCGGCCTTTCTTGGGAACCCGAGTTTTCAATTAACATGCGCACCAGGTTGCGATTGTGTAAAGAAACACTAGGAGCCAACAACCGTATAAACATGTGGATGAATGTGGGTCAATGTTGATCAGTGTTGAACATGTTGGTTGCCAACGACCTTCCAATATCTTTGATTTGTTATTTCTTGGAACCTTTCTTCGCACCCTGGCATTTGCTAATGGCACCCCTTCGGGTGCTCAGCTCATTGTGCTGCCACGTATGGGTGCCACTCCTGAGTGCGAAGGTGCGAAGGCTGGCTCCAACCCTGGATTTTACCATGAAATGACATGACTGAAATACTATTGGTTTGTTTGGACGTGTAATTACCCTTAAATCCACAAGTGCATCATATCCATTTCCCTGTGAACAATGTCATGTTCGGGGGACAATATTTATATATATAATGTATATATATATATATATATAATGTATGTATGTATGTATGTATGTATGTATGTATGTATGTATGTATGTATGTATGTATGTATGTATGTATGTATGTATGTATGTATGTATGTATGTATATATAATGTATATATATATAATGTATATATATATAATGTATATATATATATATATAATGTATATATATATATATAATGTATATATATATGTATATATATATATATATATGTATGTATGTATATATAATGTATATATATATAATGTGTATATATATAATGTATATATATATATAATACATATATATATATAATGGATGTATGTATGTATGCATGCATGCATGTATGTATGTATGTATGTATACACTCATCATCAAGATTCATCAAGCAGGAACAGGCCGGAAGCACTTCCAACATCCAAGACCTAATTCTGCCAAGAAACCGTGGGAGTGAAAAAGGTCATCCAGTTAAGCAAGTCTGGTACTTTCTTGGTCGCCTGAAGCCCCTCGAAGGCATCCTGGAAGAGTTGGTGGCACAGCGGGTTTGTGCTGAAATCGGATAAGAAGTATGGGAATTACTCAATGATCATGGTCGGAATACATCATAAAAGGGTTATATAAGTTATATATATATGTGTGTGTAGAAAAAAAACGCATACACCCGTGAAAATTATCAAAGCATAAATCAGCTCTGGCAACGACTCATTAACATAGCATCCGGTACCGTTGTGCGGCCTGGGGAAAAGGAATTAGGTAGATTTTGGGTTCGTTGGGCACCAACTCATTAACATAGCGTCCGGCCGTTGAGCTAATAATTTGTGCGTTCCCCAAGAAATGGAGATCAAAAAACTGCGATGGGTGCTAACCTGGCACCTGAAAGAGACTGACCTAGCTAGAATCCTGGAAGGCAGAAATGCTATGTTAGCATCAATTTGCTCAGAAAAATGCAGGAAACATGTCCATACCCCTTGTTGTTTCCCCTGTGTGTCTCCCCGGGGTGGTGATCCCAATGCAACGAGTCGGGGTGAGCATCGTTTTCCACCAACATGCGCGCGGTGAGCAGCAGCAAGCAGCAGCAAGGAGCAGCAAGCAGCAGGCAAGCAGCTAGAATCCTGGAGGCCGAAGAAATGCTATGTTAGCATCGATTTGCTCAGAAAAATTCAGAAAACATGACCATACCCCTCACAGCACTATGAAAACTTGTTCTTGAACATGTTGTACAGCTGCTATGTTAGGTGCTCATTGTTTCCCCATAGCTCATTCCATTTGTTTGAACTGGCAAAGGTCTGGAGATGCTATGTTAAGCACATACGAGCGCTGTACTTAAGTCATAAGTCACATCAGGCGGGAAAAGCCACATCATCCCCATGGCACGGCGGCGATACAGAAAGGTCACATCAGGTAGCGGGAAGTCACATCAGGGAAGAAGAATCACCATGGCACAGCAGCAGGTAAGCAGCAGCAAGCAGCAGCAAGCAGCAGGCAAGAAAAGCAGCAGCAAGCAGCATGCAAGAAGAAGCAGCAGCAAGCAGAAGGCAAGAAGAAGGCAAGAAGAAGGCAAGAAGAAGGCAAGAAGAAGCAGCAGCAAGCAGCAGCAACAGCAGGCAAGCAGCAGGCAAGCAGCAGGTGAGCAGCAGCAGGTAAGCAGCAGCAGGTAAGCAGCAGCAAGCAGCAGCAAGGAGCAGCAAGCAGCAGGCAAGAAGCAGGCAAGCAGCAGGCGAGCAGCAGGCAAGCTGCTAGAATCCTGGAGGCAGAAGAAATGCTATGTTAGCATCGATTTGCTCAGAAAAATTCAGAAAACATGACCATACCCCTCACAGCACTATGAAAACTTGTTCTTGGACATGTTGTACAGCTGCTATGTTAGGTGCTCATTGTTTCCCCATAGCTCATTCCATTTGTTTGAACTGGCAAAGGTCTGGAGATGCTATGTTAAGCACATACGAGCGCCGTACTTGAGTCACATCAGGCGGGAAAAGGCACATCATCCCCATGGCACGGCGGCGATACAGAAAGGTCACATCAGGTAGCGGGAAGTCACATCAGGGAAGAAGAATCACCATGGCACAGCAGCAGGTAAGCAGCAGCAAGCAGCAGGCAAGAAGAAGCAGCAGCAAGCAGCAGCAAGCAGCAGGCAAGAAGAAGCAGCAGCAAGCAGAAGGCAAGAAGAAGCAGCAGCAAGCAGCAGCAAAAGCAGGCAAGCAGCAGGCAAGCAGCAGGCAAGCAGCAGCAAGGAGCAGCAACAGCAGGCAAGCAGCATGCAAGCAGCAGGTGAGCAGCAGGAGAGCAGCAGGTGAGCAGCAGCAGGCAAGCACCAGGCAAGCACCAGGCAAGCAGCTAGAATCCTGGAAGGCAGAAGAAATATTATGTTAGCATCGATTTGCTCAGAAAAAATCATAAAACATGTCCATACCCCTTGTTGTTTCCCCTGCGTATCTCCCCGGAGTGGTGATCCCAATGCAACGAGTCGGGGTGAGAATCGTTTTCTGCCAACAGGCGCGCGATGAGCAGCAGGTGAGCAGCAGCAGGTAAGCAGCAGCAGGTCAGCAGCAAGCAGCAGGTGAGCAGCAACAGCAGGCAAGCAGCAGGCAAGCTGCAGGCAAGCTGCAGGCAAGCTGCGGGCAAGCTGCTAGAATCCTGGAGGCAGAAGAAATGCTATGTTAGCATCGATTTGCTCAGAAAAATTCAGAAAACATGACCATACCCCTCACAGCACTTTGAAAACTTGTTCTTGAATGTTGTGCAGCTGCTATGTTAAGTGCTCATTGTTTCCCCATAGCTCATTCCATTTGTTTGAACTGGCAAAGGTCTGGAGATGCTATGTTAGGCACATACGAGCGCCGTACTTAAGTCACATCAGGCGGGAAAAGGCACATCATCCCCATGGCACGGCGGCGATACAGAAAGGTCACATCAGGTAGTGGGAAGTTACATCAGGGAAGAAGAATTACCATGGCACAGCAGCAGGTAAGCAGCAGCAAGCAGCAGGCAAGCAGCAGGCAAGAAGAAGCAGCAGCAAGCAGCAGCAAGCAGCAGCAAGCAGCAGCAAGGAGCAGCAAGGAGCAGCAAGGAGCAGCAACAGCAGGCAAGCAGCACGCAAGCCGCAGGTGAGCAGCAGGTGAGCAGCAGCAGGTAGGCAGCAGCAGGTATGCAGCAGCAGGTAAGCAGCTGCAAGCAGCAGCAAGGAGCAGCAAGCAGCAGGCAAGCAGCAGTCAAGAGAAGCAGCAGCAGAGGCAAGCAGCAGCAGCAAGCAGCAGCAAGCAGCAGCAAGCAGCAGCAAGCAGCAGCAAGGAGCAGCAACAGCAGGCAAGCAGCAGGCAAGCAGCAGGCAAGCAGCAGGCAAGCAGCAGGCAAGCAGCAGGCAAGCAGCAGGCAAGCAGCACGCAAGCAGCACGCAAGCAGCAGGTGAGCAGCAGGTGAGCAGCAGCAGGGAAGCAGCAGCAGGGAAGCAGCAGCAGGGAAGCAGCAGCAGGGAAGCAGCAGCAAGCAGCAGCAAGCTGCACCAAGGAGCAGCAAGCAGCAGGTAAGCAGCATGCAATCAGCAGGCAAGCAGCTAGAATCCTGGAAGCAGAAGAAATGCTTTGTTAGCATGGATTTGTACAGAAAAATCAGAAAACATGTCCATAGTCCATAGCCCTCACAGCACTATGAAAACATGTTCTTGAACTTGTTGTACAGCTGCTATGTTAGGTGCCCATTGTTTCCCCATAGCTCATTCCATTTATTTGAACTGGCAAAGGTCTGGAGATGCTATGTTAAGCACATACGAGCGCCGTACTTAAGTCACATCAGGCGGGAAGAGGCACATCATCCCCATGGCACGGCGGCGATACAGAAAAGTCACATCAGGCAGTGGGAAGTCACACCAGGGAAGGAGAATCACCATGGCACAGCAGCAGGCAAGCAGCAGGCAAGAAGAAGCAGCAGCAAGCAGCAGGCAAGAAGAAGCAGCAGCAAGCAGCAGGCAAGAAGAAGCAGCAGCAAGCAGCAGGCAAGAGCAGAAGCAGCAGCAAGCAGCAGCAAGCAGCAGCAAGGAGCAGCAACAAGAAGAAGCAGCAGCAAGCAGCAGCAAGCAGCAGCAAGGAGCAGCAACAGCAGGCAAGCAGCAGGCAAGCACCAGGCAAGCAGCTAGAATCCTGGAAGGCAGAAGAAATATTATGTTAGCATCGATTTGCTGAGAAAAAAATCATAAAACATGTCCATACCCCTTGTCGTTCCCCTGTGCATCTCCCCGGGGTGGTGATCCCAATGCAACGAGTCGGGGTGAGCATCGTTTTCCGCCAACACGCGCGCGGAGCAGCAGGTGAGCAGCAGCAGGTAAGCAGCAGCAGGTAAGCAGCAGCAGGTAAGCAGCAGCAAGCAGCAGCAAGGAGCAGCAAGCAGCAGGCAAGCAGCAGGCAAGCAGCAGGCAAGTAGCAGGCAAGCAGAAGGCAAGAAGAAGCAGCAGCAAGCAGCAGGCAAGAAGAAGCAGCAGCAAGCAGCAGGCAAGAAGAAGCAGCAGCAAGCAGCAGCAAGCAGCAGCAAGCAGCAGCAAGCAGCAGCAAGGAGCAGCAAGGAGCAGCAAGGAGCAGCAACAGCAGGCAAGCAGCATGCAAGCAGCAGGTGAGCAGCAGGTGAGCAGCAGGTGAGCAGCAGCAGGTAAGCAGCAGCAAGCAGCAGCAAGCAGCAGCAAGGAGCAGCAAGGAGCAGGCAAGCAGCAGCCAAGCAGGTGAGCAGCAGCAGGTAAGCAGCAGCAGGTAAGCAGCAGCAAGCAGCAGCAAGGAGCAGCAAGGAGCAGCAGCAAGGAGCAGCAGCAAGAAGAAGCAGCAGCAAGCAGCAGGCAAGAAGAAGCAGCAGGCAAGCAGCAGGCAAGAAGAAGCAGCAGCAAGCAGCAGCAAGGAGCAGGCAAGCAGCAAGGAGCAGGCAAGCAGCAGGCAAGCAGCAGGTGAGCAGCAGGTGAGCAGCAGGTGAGCAGCAGCAGGTAAGCAGCAGCAGGTAGGCAGCAGCAGGTAAGCAGCAGCAAGCAGCAGCAAGGAGCAGCAGTGCAGCAGGCAAGCACTCTTGGAAGTAGTATTCGCCATGTTCCCAAACACAGCACGAACACTAACTTGACACTTTTGGGAATGAGTGCTGATGGAGGCGCGGCAGGTGTTAGGTTAGAATCAATATGATCCCATGAACATGCAAGATTTCAGCTGCTATGTTAGCTGTTCTCAACGAAAAAAACGAAAACTAAGGTATTGCTAAAAAATATATATGTTTTTTTTTGCAACAAGTTGTTCTTCACGAGAGTAAACAATGATAAACAATCGGATTTTGGAGACAAAAAGATTGGACAGACCCATCTCTTGCGCAGATAAATCAATGCGCTTCCCGTCCTGGGAACCTTCCGTAGTGAAAGCGTGCTCCTTGAAGAGGCTACGGCACTCAACTTGAAGATTGGCCACCTCTCCAATCCTCAGCGTCCAACGATATCCAACGACTACGAGGATTCTGATTCAAACATACAAAAGATATTCAAATTGCCAAAGGATGCCAAACGCAAATTCAATGGAGTGAAGTGAATGTACAAGTGTTGCCCTTCGTTTAGCGGGCCAAGTCTCTTCGCTCCATCAGTCCAATCATTAGGGTGAGCCTGCGCAGCTCAACACTGAGAGGCACAAATATCAGAGAGAGAGAGAGAGAGAGAGTCCACTAGCAACCCAAGATATGATCTCAGCACATTTTAAGAACCAAATGTCTCATTCGTGAATGGCAATGGACTCAAATGTATTTCCAACTGCTAAATGTTCTGTGATTTTCTTGCAAGAGTGTTCGATGCAGGAAGACAATTCAATGAAAAGGGGAAGAGAAGTGATCAGCAACTCGACTCAGCGACGAAATGCAACTCAGCGACCCTGCACCTGCTCCAAGAAACGGACCAGCTGCAGCAGCTTGTCATGCAGGGCAGGTGAGACATCGAAATTAGCGCAAATAAGTAGCTCCTGGGAAAATCATGGGAAGGTGAGGGGAAAGTGAGAGGAAAACTATGGGAGGGTGATGTGTGGCTAATGAGCGAGAGCTGAATAAAGACAATAAAGGCAGTATAGAAGCAGCCCATAGGAGCTCTGAGAAGATTGCAAAGCACTGGATGAAAGGAACAAATTGGCAACATCGAAAGGATGGTCAGAAAACCAGGGAGTGGAGGATCCTTGTTCAAATACTCGGGCTTCAAGAACCTCTTCATGTTCTCGTCACAGTGAAGGGAGGACATCCAAAACAGGACCCGGCCAGGCATGTGCTGGAGGTCGCTGGCACTCAGGGGGAGCTCAGTGCTCCATGGAAAGAAATTGTAAGCGAAGTCGACATAGCCACCTCCCCTGAGGTCGAGGTCTGTGATGACCTGAGAGCAACAACCAGCTATAGCAGCTATAGGCTATAGCTGAGATACCTCTAAAATTGCCATGTTGATAGGGAAACTATATGATCATAAATTCAAAGGACTAGGGCCTAGATTAAGCTAGTGGAATTCCAATCAAAAATCCTGCGTCATCACAAGTTCTTGCAAGAAATGCTGAGGGGAGCACCCCTGCCCGCAGCTCATCATCAAAGAGATTGCGCGGAACCGCAAACATGGGGCAACATGTGAGTGGCAAGCATTCCATCCCCTCCCAACAATCCATAAAGCGGATTGCCACCACCACTTGGAGGAGCAAGTAGGTTGCACCTGGCAGAAGGTGTGTTCGAAAATGGTTGGCACATCTTGAAATCTGAGGTCTCCAATCTTTTGTCCCCCAAAATCCCGTGTATCATGATAATCACATATAATCACTGATCATCAGCATGTTCATCATCAATTTTCCATATGGAAATGATGAAATCATCGATGAAACCATGGCATTTTTACCCCTTGGGTGCTTGGCTCCGAGCTCATCAGCCAACGGCAAGGTTCCTCGGCGAATCCCTGAGCCAAGATTGGCCAAATCTGATCTGGGAGGACGTCCTGAGCACAGCACGGCTGATGGATCTGATGGTGAAAGTCGAGAAACAACAAAAATATCAACGACACGCACGCACATAAAATATCATAAATATATATATATATATATAAATATGTGATAATCTGTGATTCTGTAAATTATGGATGTAAATGATCCAGAATGGTCCAGAATGATTGTTTTTCGGCTTGAATGGCGTGTTGATGCACAAATTGGGGATTTGGATGTCAATGGATTCCGGGCCTGTCCATGCCACAGTGCCTGCACATCGGGCAGGAAGACCCAGAACACAGGGCACCAGAACGGCTTGAAGTCGAGGCCCTCAGCAGTGCATAAGGCTGATGAATGCTGATGACATTCGATACTGAACTCGAGAGCCTTCCGGTTTAAAACACGGCGCCTGCAGCAAATCGACTCCAAGATGAAAAGAAAAGGCAATTGCACCAGCGAGCACCTCGGCACAGCACAATGGACTCTGCTTGCTCAACCTGGCCCACTCGGACTGGCAAAATGAGATCAAATACGATTGTATTTCAGCCAAGGTCAAGACTGAGCCCAGTCTTCCGCCAAACATTACCATTGGCAGCCAAGCAAATTCGAAAGCCAGCCCAGACCTTTGGCATGTCATGCTGATGCGCCATCATTTAATCTGACTTGTCAACCTGACTAGCAGCTACAAAAAGCTAGTAATACACAGTAAGACTACAGACCGAGTTCCACACACTGCAAGAATCGTGCAGAGATACCAGCGCTGAAGCAAAAAGCGCTGCAAAGCTCGCACTAGGAAGGACCAGTGTGGCCGACTCCACATTGCATCCACGATGTACGCTTGCATTGTACTGCCAAGCCAGGGCCGTCCAAAAACTCCTGCCACCACAACTTTGGAGACTGCTCCAGCAAAGTAGATCACTCCCAAGAAGAGTTTGATGAATACCTGACAGATCAAAGCATTGAGTTTGAGCATCCACTGTTGGAATCGAATGTTAAGTTTCGGAGCCCAGCCCTTGCATGGGGATCCATATCCAGCTTAAAGATGCTTAAGCATGTTTGATACGGACTTTATACAAAACAAACGGCACATATATGCATATATATACACAGTATATGTGTATATATAGATATAGAGAGAGAGAGCTACAGTATGAATATATCTATATATAATATATATATATACAGTTAAACAACCAAACACGCAAACATCATATCGCATCATATCACAGAATCCTATCATTCCCATTCCTATCATACCGAGTCCAAGCTGCTAGGCTCCAGGGCGATCCCTGAGGCCCTCCGCTGAGCGCCAGGAGCAGCAACACTGAGGGCAGCAGCAGCGCGCCATGACCACCGTGTTTTGACCTGGGTGTCAGGATGGCAGGTGATGGTTGATGGTTATGCTTGATATAACAATATTATAAAATTATATATGTATATACATATAATTGTATACATATATATATATATATACATACCACCGATGTATTGAATGTTGATATAAATATATATATATGTTGATATTTTTTGATATATGTTGACAAGTATGTTGATATGCTATGAATGATATGTTGATATATTCTGTCACTTTGATGTAAACTGATGGTTGAGAAACAGGTTGATATAAATTGATATCTAGTTTTGGTTGGTACAGATATCATTGTTTATAGCATCATGCTTAACTAATAATTGACTTGGTTGATATCCATTAATTCGCCTGCTGAAGGTGATATTTACATTTATTTACCTCCTAAGCTGACGTTTGTTAAGCTCCGGACTCACAAAAGAGTTGGCCGAAGTACAGAAAGTACAGGCCGAAGCTGGCGAAGAGGAAAAATCGTGGTGCCAGGTGAGAATGGCACGCCAGCAGTAGCGAGACCACCTCGCTAAACCGACCGGTGCAGCAGGACTTGGGGGGGTCACCGGGGGGGTCCCTTTTTTTTAAGAACCACCGAACCACCATATCTGGGAATCATGACTGAGGCTGCAACCAGCAACCATCCCACCATCTGGAAGTGGCTCTCCGGAAGATTGCCAATTGGAAAAATTCCATATGCTTTGCATGCATTGTAGCCGAGTCCTCGCCGGCCACTCAGGGGCAAATTAGTGCTTGTAATGAAGCCTCAGGTTCAGCAAGTTCCACAATGAATGGGCAGCTTGGAGAAAGACTTCACACTGGCAAGTGACACGAGTCGCAAAAGGCATGATGTGCTGCAGAGCAACGGTAATATCGTATAGCAGATGGGTGATTGATAATCAAGCTAAAAGCTACTGAGACGCAGAAGAGCGTGATGAATAATCGAACCTCCAAGCCCAGACTCTTGTTTCTGCGTGTGATTGTGCATGTGACTTTGAGATTCAAGAGGTTTGACAAGCAAAAAACGCATAAATATACATAAACTGACATAAACTTTATCAAACGGCTTCGACTCAGCTGTGCTTTTGATATTGGTCAGCCTGCTCCGGTGGCTCGCACAGGAAGAAAGGTTGCAACACTTCGGGAGAATCCATGCACCTTGGAGGCTTGGTGGTTTGTCTATGATCTGCGATTCTTTACCATAGAAATGTGATGAAATGTGATGAAATGTGATGAAATGTGATGAAATGTGATGAAATGTGATGAAATGTGCCCCTCATCTCAAGATTTCTGAACTGAGTCAAGTACACTGCATCTGATGCAAATAATAGTGCTTCTTCCGGGCGCCGGTACGTCACATTTCTCAAGCTAATGCCTGCAGGGAGAGCATGCTAAGAAACCGGAAAACCATGGAAAACCTATCCGCCCATGTCATGTGCAGCAGTGGCCTATGCTACCCATCGCTCCCTGCTCAGAAAATATTTTAATCTCCTGGGCCCATCCTGGGCTTGAGCCACAAAGTGTTGGACAGCCAAGCTAAAGGGGCTAAAGGATGCAGCCAAACCCATGGCGACATGACATATGGCAACACTGATGTGGCATCAATGACTATTTCAGCATGGTCTTGAGGTGGGTAGGCCGCCAGTTCCAAAGCAATAAGGACGACACATTGAAAAACTCCTCCATTGCAGAGTAAATTGGCAAATCACCTTGATCAGAGCTAGGTTATCACAACAGCAGAAGGGAAGACACCAGGAATAACTGCAGAATAACACAACTCAGGCCGCAACTCTCTGTTCCTTTGACCTTCAGAGGACAGGTCACTGGGATTCCATATTCCACGGCGAGGCTGCCCGGCTGCCCGGCATGCAACCAAGGCACAGAGATTTGGATACCAGTGAGAAGGCCATTGCATGCGACCAGGAAGAAGGTGAATAACTCAAAGCTCCTGAACACGTTTAATTCATCTGAAACTCAACAGAAACAAGCATGCATACATGCATGCAGACATACAAACATACAGTGCATTGCATTGCATTCCATTCCGTTCCGTTCCATTACATTGCATTACATTCCATTCCATTCCATTACATTATCTTACATACGTGGCATATCATAATGTATTGTGATGTATGTGTTTTCAAAATGCTTCTTAATTTAAACAGCCGCCAAAGAAGTGCAAAGAAGCACGTGGAGAGTGTGGCATTCCCCTGGCGGTCATGCCAGTCTTCACCATATTCTGGATAAAAGGAAACCTGGCACGGCACTGCCAACTCCCAAGATACCCTTTTGTGTCAAACCTGGCTAGCTGGGAAATCCATGGAAATCCCCTATTTTGATTGGAAAAATCATCTATGAAGGGTGGATTTTCCATTCCCATGTTTGATTACCGGAAGGTGCCATCTGACAGCTATGAGTACTGAAGCATCCAAGGAGTTGCTATTTTCGGATCAAAATGGATGGCCTGTGCTCGAATTCTGGCAGGCTTCGTCGATGTTTCTCAATTTGGATCTTGTTCTGCAGCTTGTCAAACCTGCAATGTCCGATCACGGCGCCAGGCCATGCAGTAGGTATCAGTAGTCGCAAGGGAGAAACTGTTCTCCAGTTATCTCCAGTTTCCACACTCCCACAGTATCCCGACTCCCGACATATCCTGACCTTGGCAACCTAATGGATCTAATGATTTTCATGTACTCCGTGTCTCCAATGAAACAGCTAGCAGCTATCACTCTTGGGCATGTTGGCAATGGCTACTGTCTGGCCTCAATGCTTTTCGGATCGACTCAAATAACCTCAGACATTCTACATGAAGTCTCATGCGTCACGCAGTTTCCACTATTTTCCACTTCAAGTTTACATCTGTGGCAGTAGCGAGTGTCGCTGTCCCTGACCCATGGCCAGGCATAAATGCATCCGTGATACCACCATCCCTTCTTCGGCTTCAAGGCTTCTTCGATGATTTGTTCATTGGTCTTGTGATCAGCACCAGCTAGAACCTCGTCTTCAGATCAACAAACCACCGCGGCGAAAATGTTGCAGCGATGATCATGATGATCTACATGCACCTGCCTGCTGATAATCCATGCGGCGAGGCCCTGGCCGCACTAGAAATTTTGGGTTTCTCGTCTTGGTCCTGCTCAGAAGCCCACGTGACTTTGTCATTGCAATCACTTGAAACTAACCAGCTAAAACATGGGTTTATTTGAAATTGTAGTAGACGCTTCATTTTATGGCAATTTTCAAAGGGGAAGTGGTTGAAGTGGTGATGATTGACCACCACTAATTTCAGGGTAACCCAATGTTCAAACAAACATCAGTCGCAATGGGCATTTTGCTCACCGTGGACCTGCCTCTTGCTGATGCATTTTGGCTCTCGTTCGCAACCGCCGGGCTTCATCCATAGAAATGGTGCCTCTATCAAGCAGTTCCTGCGGATCGCATCACTCGTTGGACCGTTGGACTTTCAGATGTCTTTAACTTGCTCTACTCATTGCCTTGATGTGTTCTTCGCTCTCTTCAAATTTCTGGTAAGCTTCTTCGACCTGCCGGGATAGACATGCAGTCAAAGAAATTAAACACTGTAGAAAAATGAAACACGATTTCTGTGATTGAAGATGTCCGGGCCTCTCTTGCTTCCATCCGTTCTTTGGCACAAACGCTCTCGGACACCATCACCTGGCAACAACGATGCTTCTCAATTCAGATTTTGAAACGTTATCGTTGTTTGGTCGGTTGAACGGCCTCGATGGTGCCCTGGGCAAGGTCTCGCGATGCTTCCGCCATGGTGCGCAGGTGTTGTATGCAACTGGGAATGCCACAACTTCCGCAACGAGAAAAACACAGCACGCACGAATGCAATTGCAAGAGACACTGTGAAGACACTGTGCTGCATTGTTTTCAAAACATGGCCGTTTCGTGGAAACGCCAAACAAAGTTGATCGTCCTGTGTGATCATTCCGTAGAATGGCAGGATGTGGTTCTACGTTTGAAAGCCGAAAATTGTGGAAATGGACGCAACCCCACCTGCAGCGAATACATGTGAAAATGGAGTGCCCCCAAAACCGACTCCAAGAAACACAACATGCTGTGGATTTGATGTGGGTTTGTTTTGCACGCGGCACAAACGAAAGTGGCCGGTGTGTAATTATATGCTGTCGGAAGTGAGCGAATGAAGATTTCGGTTCTATGCATAGCGGTTAGCGCTGGTGTTGCGAGACTAACTCGGCATTTCAACCTGGGTGGGTGTTTTTTGTGTGTGGGACGTGCTTTGCGGGTCAGGCGCGGCAGTTTGTGCGTATCTTAGTTGATGTTTTTTGTCTTTGCACGGTTGACCGCCGCCGCCCCCGTTAAGTTCCGCATTGCAAGCCAAAGCACGGGGAATACAATCTATTTCAAAATGTTTTCTGTCAATTTGTCCTTGCATGTCCCCTTCCAAACAGCAGACTAAATTTCAGAAACACATGTTGCTAGCAATGCGCCTTCACTCATTGCATCAATGCAATCTCTGACACAAAATATCACATCAGGACCTTGGCGAATGCGTTTTCAATATGTTGCTGGCATCGCTTGGTCCTACATCCATCGCTCACGAGTGGGTCAGGGTGTGCTCAAATCTTTCCAGTTTTGTTCATCGTTTTTGGTACGGTCTTGTTTTTAGTTCTCGTTTGGGATCCTCTTAGTCAATCGCGCTGGCGCTGTCCCCACAATCGCGTCAACACCAATTGCGTTGGATAGACTTTCCCGCTGCATAATGAAATTTTGGTTCATTAACTCACATTTAAATTTGGCACCAACCTTAAGCGTATAGAGACATATTTTATATATATTATAATATATATATATTATCATATAGTTAGAGGAGAGTGATTTGGCGGTGCATATTTTCATAACCACTCCCTAACCAAAACCCTGTGAGTATTATCCGAACATAAATCATCAAAATCAATTTCAGGGGTATTATTCTGAACTGCCAACCCACTCTCCTCATAGATTTTACCAAAAAAACACTATAACATGAATCAAAACAACTAACTATAAAACAAAAAAACTCAAACAACCTAAACAATACAATAAACAATAAAACAAACCTTACCATAAATCATAACAACACCCTATATACCTTACCTCACCCACATATTTTAGTTCTAAATCACTCACCTCACCAACCGGCGAGGTTGGGCACTTAATTTTCTTGGAGTTGGTCATCAACATCCATCAATTGGAGGCGCGCCAAATGGGATGGATTGGGAAGTGGTTGAGAGCTTTGAGCAAGTGAATTAAGAGAGCAGAGTTGAAAACTTGAGGTGGATTGACGGTCGTGATTTCAACATCTGTTTTTTTGTAGAAACCTTTGGTGCTCAAATCTACCATTTTTCTGGTACATGAGTCAGCTATCAAAAAAAAAATAAAAGTCATCAAAAAGAAATTTAATTTCCCATCAAAAAAAATAAACTCATCAAAAAAAATTATTCCCTCATATCCTGGCCTGCGCAAGCCAAACGCAAAATACAAGCATCATGAAATCTGTGCATTGCATCATCAAAAAAATATGTTTAAATTATTTTTTGATGATTAAATTTTTTTGGGGGGGTCTTGGTAAAACAATTATTACTAGCAGAAAAAGTATGTTAAAAAAGGAATATACTTGGGAGGGACGGTTGGGTGGGCTTGGTCGACGCCGACATGTACGAGTCATCGCACAAGGAACACGTATTGGTTCGCAAGCTGTTCAATAACGAGGCACTGGGCCAAACAACATTGAATCCAATGGGCTACAAAAACCATTCTTTCCATCATGTTTTCCAGGCACGGGTGGGTGGGCCTGCTGTATACGGAAGCTTGCACAACAACGCACGGCTACGCGATGAAGTACGCTTGAAAAAGGCCAAAGAGCCAAAAGCCAAATGGCCAGAGGCCAATAGGTCAAGCCTGGCGCTAAAACCCAGAGGAAGTAGCAGGAGGACAGTAGACGAAGCTGAGCAGGTTGGCTGCGACAGGTTTGGTAATGCCAAGAAAGATGAGAACGTGCGGGAATCGAACTTCCATGCGTGTAAGTTACCTGGCCCAGCGACCAAGCGTACCCAATTCCCAGGACCTAGCGTTCGAGCCACACAGCCCTACTTGCAAGGCAGCTGAGTCGTTGGGCCACCGGGCCACCAGTTCCAGGCCCCCACACAGCAATGGTCAGCTGCCATCCCCATTTTGACTTGCAAAGGTGTATGTCTACTATGTTGGAATGGACGCAATGTAGGTGGGCCTTATCACGACACATTCATTCGCAATGTGGGTGGGCCTTATCATCCACCTTTCTGGCGTTGTCACAAGCCGCGGGCAGGGCTTTAAAATAAAAAGGCGGGAGGGGGGCGCGGGAGGGGGGCGCAGCGCCTCCCCCCGCAAAGCGTCACATGAGTGGTGTCCACAGGATTACTCTATACCTCTCTTGGGCCTTGACAGCGTATATAAATATGCTCAATACTCATGCAGTACCCACGTAGGATTCAAGTTAAAACAAAAACCAGGGCGCAGCGCCTCCCCCCAACAGAACAGTATAGGTGGGCCGTATCATCCACCTTTGTGGCGTTGTCACAGCACAGAAACAAACCAAGCATGTTAGCTGGTTGCCTGGTTGGTTGGTTGTTTGGTTGCTTGGCTGGTTCGCTTCTTCGCTGTCTTGGTTGTAGTCGTTTGATGTGTGTGTGTGTGCGTTCAACCGAACCAAACTAACAAAAGGTTGACAAAACAAGAGCCATACAGGCCTCCCTCCTGGACATGCATCGGGCACCAGTGCCATGTTCCTGAAAAAAGCACCAACGCGCCTCCCCCGGCAAAGCGTCACATGAGTGGTGTCTACAGGATTACTCTATACCTCTCTTGAGCCTTGACAGCGTATATAAATATGCTCAATACTCATGCAGTACCCGCGTAGGATTCAAGTTAAGACAAAAACAAGGGCGCAGCGCCTCCCCCCAACAGAACAGTATAGGTGGGCCGTATCATCCACCTTTGTGGCGTTGTCACAGCACAGAAGCAAACCAAGCATGTGGGCTGGGTGGCTAGGCTGGTCAGTTGCTCGGTTGCTCGGTTGCTTGGTTGGTTCGCTTTATATGTTTGGTGTTTTCAACTATAACCAAAGTAACTCAACAAGAGCCACATGTTTGGCCTCCCCCCCTGGAAATGCCTTGGGTCACATGATCATGACACATTCATTCGCAATGTAGGTGGGCCTTATCATCCCCCTTTCTGGCGTTGTCACAAGCCGCGGGCGGGGCTTTCAAATATAAAAAGGCGGGAGGGGGGCGCGGGGGGAGGGCTGAAGAGGGGCCCTAGCGTCTACTTCAAGATCAGCTAAGGCGTCTTCCCCAATGACAGCACTCTTTTACTCTCAGCCTGTTGCCGGTCAGTGCTTGTCTACAGGGTTACTCTATATACCTCTTTCTTGAGCCTTGAAGGGCGCATATAAATGTGCTCAATACTCATGCATGTACCTATGTATGTATTAGGTCGAAACAAAAACACAGGCACAAATTCAAAAGCAATGAGTAGAGCACTACGCCTTGCCGTACCCAATTGGTATTAAGAGTATCTTCCTGACTTCTCTACACAATGGCAAATAGCAAAAGAAACCGGAGTTACGCAGTGGCTTCGAATTGAAAAACACGTGAAAACAGCGAATGTCCTAAGGACATGTCGAAAAAGAACAGCGGATTCGCTAATTTTTCCAGTAGTGACCAATGGTGCTTCGCGCACGGTCTCTCCACAGGCAAAATGCCTCGCTCTACCGGTGAAAGTTCGAATTGAAAAGTTCGGGTTCGCAAGATTCAGAAATTCAGGTCATACGAAACAATTGACCAAATCACGAAATAAACGGAAATAGCGGATCTCCAAAGTTGCTCATTCAAGCAAACAATGGACTGAAATCGAAGTTGGTAAATTTTTGAAGTTCGCTCCATTCGGAGTGGTCTGCTCGCCGGATGATTCATGGAGATAAATGTATATAGTATCTCTACTTACAAGAGTCTCTATTTTACATTAAATTGAAGTTCAGACACTTGTGGCATTATCTCTATCTAAAAGAGTATATGCCATCTGTGTGAAATAAGTTGAACGCACAGAAAAACTGCACACGGCTTCTCATGCTGTGTTATCTTCAATTAAAGAAGTGTACACTCACTCATCGCCACTCACTTGATCTCCATGGTCTGGACGCTGAAGATGAGGATCCACCCCACTCTGTGTTGCCCTGATACGTCGATGCTTGATCTTCATATGCCTTTCTCTTTTTCTCCTTCTGTCTTTCCTTTCTTGAATCAGCATACTGCTTCTTCTTGTAAGCCTGTTTGTAATGATGTCGTTCATTCCATGACATATCAGAAGGATCAAGATGGATAAGAATTGGATTATGAGCATCGCGATCATTTGGAGCAACCATGAAGATGTTGTGATCACCATGTAAGCAAGTTTCATTTACCTTGAAGTAAAATTCACCCACATAGTTCATGTGATCTTCATCCTCAAAGTCTTCTGGGTGTTCCTCACACATCAAACGTGAATGACCCCACTCAACAACTGTTAACATACAACAATCACCCTTACCATTTGTCTTGTTCATGAGCTCGTCGGTGTATGTTGCTGTTGTAATGCCATCCAAGTGCGTTGCAAGAAAATCCAAGTCACGATAACTGCAAGAAATGAAATGCTCGACCCTGATTGGAGGGCAAGATGAATCAAAATACTTGCGCATGGCTTGTGTTGCAACACCTACCATTCTGTTGATCCAGAATTGG